CCCCCCCCCCCCCCCCCCATACTCCGCAGCGCACAGATTTCAAATGTACTTTGGTGAGCCCAACCGGTACTCACAATGTGATGCACACGCACAGGTTCACTGACCTGTCACGATGGCGAGCCCAACAAGACACTTGTATGACTTTCTTTGTTTTTCAGCAAGTGACAGTACAGGACAAATATTGATATATATATTTCCATTCCCGTTACCTTGTACGTAGATACTGAGACTATGTACCCGGTTACCGTGTACGTAGAAGCTGAGACTAGGTGCCCGGTTACCGTGTACGTAGATATCAAGCGCCATTTGCCGATCAGCGCGATCTTAAGATGGCGCAGAACCATATATGACGATCCCCAGAAAGCACGGCCATCTCGAGATGGGCGCGCCATCTACGGATTATTTCCGAAAATGAACAGAGCTGCGCGATCTTAAGATTGAGCAAAGCAAGCAAAAATTGTGCCATCTGCCGATCGCGTGGAAACACACACAAACAACAGGAGACTGAAAAATAATGTGGCAACCCTGAATGAAAGGGGAAAGCAAAGCATTTAGAATCGAAACGCAAAAAGTCAAAAGAGAAAGGCTGTATATGGGCAAGTGATACTTGCGTCCTCTAGATCTAGAACCTTTTTTTTAAATTTTGAAATTAATGATAATAAATTCTGCGGAGTTTGGTTTGCGAACTTTGCAAAATCGTTTGTTTGTGTGTGATGGCGCGTCGCGCCCATCTTGAGATGGCTGCGCTTTCTGCGGATCGTCATATGGTTCTGCGCCATCTTAAGATCGCGCTGATCGGCAAATAATGGCGCTTGACATAGACACTCCGTTTACAGTTAGGTTTGAAATTTTCTTTAAAATAATTGATTTGCGACAGTTTTAGTGGCCTGTATGTGTGATCTGCAGCAAACAATGACAATACACCTGCAGTTTGACCCCCGAAGCAGTAACATCTGTGTGCCGGAGTGAGAGTAAAAATAGTAGGCTGGCCAACAGTGCAGACTAGATCTAGAGACAAACATACGGAAGGCCATGCTGCTGCTGAGGCCGAGGACAGGAGTAGATCTACGTGTGACATAGAGTCTAAGTCTAAGCCTAGACGATAAGCTGAGGCTGAGGCAGGTTCCAAAATCATGACACCCCATGCATATTCTGATTATTCATTAAATTCATTATCATGGCATGTGTCGAGATCTAGATCTAAGTCAGACTAAGTCAAAGTCAAGACAAGTTGAAGGTAACCCAGATCCCTGTCTTGAGGAATGAACTATCTAGCTAGATCTAGATCTAGATCTAGTGTAGATCTAGATTTATATCTAGATCTATATCTAATCTAGATCTATATCTAGATCTATATCTAGAATCTAGTCTACCTTAACTTAAGTAAGTGCCTTAACTACCTAGATCTAGATCTAGTCTATAATGTCTTGGAGTGCAATTACCTTGTTCGAGAAATTTTATCTGTAATACTTGTTGATCCCATTTAAATACAGTTAGATCTAGATTCTAGATCTAGATCTAGACTCTAGTGTCAATTCAGATAGATCTATAATCTATAATCTAGAGTGAGTACGAATGAGGAGAGTGCGAGTGCAATGTGCGTGCATTCGTGCATCACAACAGCTGCGAACAGGACACTTTTTTCGATCTTCAGTACAGAAGAACACAACATTAGCTTCAAGAAAAATAATACTGATGTCGTACTAACTCATAACAGAGACTCTATATTTTAGTGTCTCTGCTCATAATCAACCAAAGAGGGAAGGAGGTTATAATCAGTTTTATAGATTAGATCTAACCTATTTGCAAATGAAGTCAAAGTCTTGAATCCAAGTAAATCGTGCTATATTTTTCTTCTCATAGCCTAAACATTGTTTCGGGCCTTGATCCGCTAGGTGATTGCGACAACTGGAAAAGGGACGATCAAAATCAATCAAAGGACGAAGGAAGACGAAAATCAACCTCGGAAAAGCGAAAACGAAAGTAGGGCCTTGCTGTAGGCTTTGCTTTGTGTAAACTGTAAACGTTTGGTCTTTCACCTTGGACCACTTTTATGACGTAGAGTTCAGTACAGATGCTCCGAACTAATCTGTTGGTTTCAGGGCTGCGGGCTTTTTCAGCAAATACAGCAATAGCATTCACTGGTCTCGGTTGTTTCAACCTCATCAACCTCAGCCACAGGTGACCGTGACAAGAGATTAGATAGATCTAGTGTCTAGACACTTATTTAATTAAGGACTTCCGTAACGAGCGACCTCCCCTTCAAACACAATAAAAAAAGAGGCCTACCTAAGCCAAACCGTAACCCTAACCCTACCCCTACCCCTACCTTACCCCTGCCCTAGATCTACCCATACCCCTAGCCCTCAATTCTGCTCTGTCTAATAGTGGTCGCTCGTTACGGAAGTCCTCCCCTTATGTATTAGGCCTGTAGATCTAGATCTAGGCCTAAGTGATAGTTCTTGAGAATCTAGTCTGAGAAGAGAATGCTCCCCAGGCCAGATGTCCTTTCCGCCGGACTCCCTGATTAACTCAAAGTTAAAGATAACACAACTCCCGAATGGGTCTTAATTCATGAACGGTGAAGAGCAGGAAAGGTTTTTTAATTTTAATTCAATTCAATAGAGGCTAGGCCTAGATCTATGCCTAGGCCCTAGAATCTAGCCCTAGGTATTTATAACTCATGGACCCATCTCACTCTCTATTCTATATTTTCTAAAGTGAAAGTAAAGCGCTTTTCTTGACTTCTTGTTCATTTTTGTCTGCTTTACTAAATTCAGTCGAACCTGCCCTGATGGCCGCCTCTATGAGACGAACACCTGTACAAACGGCCACTTTCCATTTCCCCCCTTGCGTTTTTTTAGATCTATATTTAACTGTGTAAAACGGGCCACCATATTTTAACACACAACCCCTATCACACTAAACAATAACACCACTCTTAGACAGCCACCTTAGTGACTCCATTACGTTTTGTCATAAATCGGGCTTTGGCCCAGGGCTGGTGTTGTGGGCGAGCCATCATAATCCAATCACCTGTCGTCCATGTTAGGTAGTCCCTCCAACCGATCATGCTGCGTTGGCCCCTCCCACTGTTGACCAATAGGCAACAAATTTTCAGCTGATTGTGAGGTAAGCGTGTGATCCCTCATAACCCATAAAAAAGCCCCTCCCAGAACTCACACAAATTGTAAACTTGAGATGAGTGATCACTGTTTACCCATTGTGTAACAAAGTAACAATGGACGTCAACATGAACTTGTGACAGAAGCGTCGCTCGTTTTCACGAGTGGTTGCGACCATCTCTCGGTTCTCCTTGTCTGACACTTTTCTCATTTCGTTTTATTTGAACACCTTGCACAAAAGCAGCAAGAAAAGAGAAAAAGCAGACAAAAAACCCAGCGAAAACAAAAACAGCAACAATGTGGCTACCTTCAGTTAGGACCTCAGAAAGGAATGGCTTGTTTTCTTTATCTTGATCAGTCCTGCCTAAGACAGCTACCTGTCTTATGCGGCCACTTTTCTCCTTGACAATTGGTGGCCGTCTTACCCAGATTCGACTGTACACGAATTTTGACTTGATAATCTAAATAATATATCCACTGCAAATTATTAGTTCATGAGAAGTATGGATATCTTTATATATATGAACTATATTAGGGGCTCTCATGGCCTAGAGGTTTTAAAGGTGTTGGCCTTTCATTCAAAGGTTCTCTTCTCTAAAATTGTCTCCTTTCACCTCCTTTTCTGCTCTCTAGCAATGTTCTGCCGTCTGCTTTCATCTCCTCTGTCTGCCCCCACCCACTCACCTCCTTACCCCCCTTCTCTGAGTTCCTGACTCTTTCTGCAGCCTTTCTACGGCTTCTCCTTGGCTCCTTCTTACTGCTATCTTTCAGCCTCACCCCTGATCTTCTTGTAGGAAAGATCTACACCTAGCCTTCTCTGACAAGGGCGAAAAATCTCGGAGGGCTCGTGTGCAAGTTGCGTACGTTAAAGATCCCTTGGTGGTCTAAAATCAATAAGAGTAGGCTTCGGCCGCCACCCGGGCAAAATTCAAAATTTCCTACCAACTGAAAATATTAGGTGTGTCCCGCACGCTCATATGACCTTATGCAGTTGCGAGCGCCGTAAAACACTTACCAAAAAAAGAAGAACTATATTACAATAATACAGTATAATCCGCTTATATTGACATGCTCTGGTAAGTTGATTTGATGTCGATATATAAAATTGTCGATAAATGAAATATAAAGCCAAAGAGGAAAAAACAAGGGGAGGTCAGCGGTAAAAAGACAGCACAACTTTTTTAAGCTGCTGAGCAACGCGAGGCGCACACTACACACCAGTGTAAACTTTGTTGTAGCATCCTTGTAAGGCCTGTTTACAGCACTGGCTATTACCTCAAAGCACATGTTCTCATTTTGATATGTAGTTTGCAGGTAGTAGGCCCATAAAAGACTTTAAAAGAAAAAATAAATAAGATACAAAAAGTCAAAGATCTCTTGTTAGAAGTCACATACACACACTGTACATCTCTTCTTACTTTTTTTAATGAATGATTTCTGTTTTATTTTGACAATTTATTGACAGGCATTTCACAAAGAAAGCTGCATGGATGAGACAAGCCTCTGATAAAATGCCAAAAAGTGCAAGTGGAAAGGCAAAGGCAAAGGTACGGAAAGTGTTTTTGAAAAATACTTGTCTTGGTATCAAGATAGAATACAGCAAAAGTTTTATTTATATGTAAAATTACCTTGTGTTCCAGGCCTCCTTTGAAATTGCTGTTAATTTTCGGAACTTCAATATTGGCAGAATGATGATGTTTAGCGATATGCAGTTGCAGAATGTTCAAGGACTCTGGTAAGTTGTGTATTCTTTCTGTATACCTTGTAGTGCCATAGACAACATTTTGAAAAGTGCACTTTTAATATGCAATGCATGATCTCAACATTTTCTAGCAAAATATGGTATGTCTTTTACTTTTAGTTTAGTAAGGTTTTACAGAATTCGCAACTGCATAAGGTCATATGAGCGCCAAGGGGTGGGTGTCAACAGAGAAGTCCAAACAGGGAATCAGGCTTACTCTGCTCACCTCTCTAGACTCAACAACACAAAGCCTGCTTTGACCATCAAGGCACCCCGGAAATAAACGTTCACAAGAAAGTGACAAACATACAAAAGAAGTAGAGTAAAGTGACGATAGTAAGGATGAGGAAAGAAAAAGCAGCAGTTCCCCCTATGTTTTTCCGGCACAGTATGAGCATGACATTGATAAATCAGCCCATTTACAATTCTACTGAGCATAAGAACATGTTAATATCCCCCCCTTTGGGAATGCCCTGTAGAGACTTCTGTCAGTGGCACTGCCCTGGAGGGGGGGTATGGTGAGTCTATATGATACATTGGATTCCAAATTCTTCAATTGCAGGCATATATATCTAATATAATCTGAAGTTGTTCATTTAACTTTTCAAGTGTTGCTAACAAATAGCCTGTGGTGTCAGGGGAAACTATATGATTTTACCATATCCTAATTATATTGTTGGAAAATGCGTGATATAACAGGTAAACTAAGCAAGTAAAGACCATTAACCTATACATTTTTAGAAAGCAGAATGTACAATGTAAATAGAACGTTATAAAGCTCATTTATAAAGGAGTTGAAAGAAATCTTCAGTGATATGAAAAATGGGATAAAAACGATCTGAAGTAGCAACTCAATTTACGGTTATTTTAATCTGCCGTGACACCACAAAACGAAACTTAGGGCCAATGTAATCAGCCGTCATCACTAGGGGGGTTATACAAAATTTTGGTGAATTCAAAGCAGTGTAGTATTGTTGAATGTCGAAATGCAAGTCACCCTGATTTTGTCAACTTTTTATATCCTATAGTGTTGCATTAATATGCCGTTTATCATTTTTCTTTTTAGTTGGGAGGAAAATCTGCTGTTGCTACATCTCCTGAAGACGCAAAATCAACTAGCCCAGTTAATTCTCGCCCTGATGGATCTGTGGAAATAAAAATTCTAGCAAAACCAGGATCAAAGCATAACAGTATCACAGGTTAGATTTGTAAAGTTATATGGATGGAGGGTAATTCTTACTTCTAAGAGAAACATTTTGTGTCTTTTTCTTTCCTTCATAAAGTGGAAAATTTGTCATGTTACTCTTTGATTACAAACTTTGTCTCACTAATAAAGATCTAGCAAAATCTTTTCCAACAATTTGAGACTGTCTTTTTAAATGTGATATTTGTGTCCTGTCGTGGTACTATTACTTTCTATTCCTAGGAAGCTTGCCAGTATGTCTTTAGTGCTTTTCTAAATAGGGAAAGTCTTGAGTACTCTGCTATCTACTGTGATATTGTTTGTCATGGTGATAATCATACGTTTCTGTGTGTGTTGTGTGTGTGTGTATATATATTGTAAATTGTAAATGGAAAGAAGAACTTTATAGCAGTTTTCATCATTATCTCTATCACTGTTTGTAATCTGAATCCATGTCTGTATCATTTTACTATATAAATTAATTTACAATTTAAAGAAGACAAAGGATTTCACCATTTAGCTTAATCAGGGGTGTAGAAGGGAAATAAAGTCGTAGCAACAGCCTCTTCCACAATCACCACAGTCACATCATGAATATCTTCATCACAATAATCTTCGTCATTGTCATGATCATCACTATATCATCACCACCTGCACCCTGGAATGCTAACTTCACTTCTGTCATGATGCACACAGTCATTAAAGCTGGATCATCCTGCTCGCCAAATCTGAGAGTGGCGATTCGCGATTCAGTAGGCTTTAAAGAATAGCGAATTCGCGAGCGCTCGTGGAACACTAAGCCTCCTATCAATGCCACTTCGCTAGTCCCACTCAAGTTACCCCTCCATCCTCTCCACCCCTCATCCTTCGTGGCGCTGCTCTACTGACCTCAATTAGCGACCCTATAAATTCACCCACCCCCCACCCCATGATTCGCTAAAACAGTGGCTCCTTAAAATTCCTTCTGTCTATTTGTTTGAACCTGTTCATTTTGTTTTAATAGGGGGGTTGGACAATACCATCTTTTGTTTTGTAAAATAAGGGGAGCCATACTAAGTGTTCCGTTCCGTTCTTGCGCCCGCGACCCAGCAGTAGGTTACAAACAAGTCGCAAGGTGGTGACAGGGGAGTGAATCAGAAAGCGATACTGTTCCGCGTTCCGCTGAAGTGAATCGCGTTCTGCAGGGAAGAGTGGCGATTCAGTTCCGTTCTCGCGCTCGCGACCCAGCTCTAACAGTCATAGACTATACTGCCCTAAGCTGACAAAATGCCTTTTTTCATTTTTGGCGCCAAATTATTTTATTTGCTTAATCGATAGCCTGATCAGTTACCCTACTTGTTTGATAAAAATCAGAGTGAAAATGTGACCAGTATTTGAATAAATTTGTATTCAAATTTGAAGAACGCCTTTTTATCTGGAAACTGCTGTGAATAAAGGAAAGGCGTTTTGTCAACGTATGGCAGTATAGGCTTTATTACAAAATCATTCAGTCACAAGTTAAAGAGACCTTTCTGGTGTCTGCAATTAAGAATTCATGCTTGGAGGACTGAAATATACTGTAAAGCTGCTGTATATCATCGCCTCAGAACTATTTTATCTAAAGTGTACTTAAAGAAAGAGTGACTTTGAACAAAATAGTTCTGAGGCGAAGATATGTTAATGCTTTAAACACATATTTGCATTGCATTCCTTTAGGCAATAACCCATGTGCAAGCTGCGCACATTAAAGATCCCTTCAAAGTCCTAAAGTCGATAAGAGTAAGCTTCGGCTGCCACCCGAGCAAATTTCAAAATTAATTCCTACCAAACTGAAAATGCTTAATGTGTCCCGCGCTGTCATATTCATATGACCTTATGCAGTCGCGAGCGAGTTTCGTAAAACACTTACAAAAAAAAAAGTTAATAAATAAAAATAAGCTAGTACTAGTATTATTTGTACTATCATCTACATGATTTCACAGGACTGTCAGAGGAAGGTGTAGGAGTGCAGATTGCAGCTCCCCCTGTTGATGGAGAGGCTAACACGGAGCTTGTCAAGTACTTGACCAAACTGCTAGCTGTTCGGAAGTCAGACCTCACCTTGGACAAAGTAATTATAAATGATCAATAACATGTAATGGTCTTGCCAATGATAGCAAGATTTATATATTTAACGATCTAGTGCTCACTTTAGCCATGTACAGAATTCATCTCGGATTCTACATATCTTTTGGTCTATGAAGAGCGTGTTTTATGTTCAAAGAGTATTCAAGACAGCACAGAGGGGCAATGGATTGTGATTTTTTTAAAATATAGACGACTAATTCATGTATATTTTATCTTTTTGAAAGTGGCAATAACAGTAGTTTCAGCAGTAAGTATCTAAATCAGCATCACCATCGGTATTGTTCATCATTATCGTTATCAAATCTTTGGCTGATGTTGTTGTATTGTCTTATTTGCTTTCCTTTCAATGTTAATTTAGTGTATTTCTAATAAGGCTCTCGAAGAATGGACGCAAGACTAAAATACATAGAGAAGTGTTCATGGAATAAGATATTATTTTAAAATAATATGGCGTTTGTAGTTGGTATTTAAAAAACGTATCTCTTAATACTTTACCCTTTACTTTCTTCAAAATTGATTTTGTATTCATTTCATAGTTTTAGGTTTTAGTCTTCCACTTTTTCTTTTGAGTTTATAACATGAGTTGAATGTTCTTTTATTGGTATAAACCATGAACTCAAGACTTACTTTTTAACAAAATGAGAACTGTCTAAACCCAAAGAGAAAGTAAATGTATTTTTCTTTTATTCCATTTACACATTTCATCATTGTCGTGTTGAGTTACTACTGTCAATTGCTTTCCTAAATATTTGCTGTTACTCTTATTCAAGTAAACTTTTTTGTGTTTATTATTGCAGGGATCCAAGTCTCGCAACAAAACTGTTCTCGTAGACAGTGCATGCGGTTTGTCTGTTGAAGAGGTGATAGAAAAACTTCAAAATGAGAAAGATTCCTAAGTGCTGGACTTCTCTGAAAGCTGTCTTGGTAAGTGCTTTTTTGTTTATTCTGAAGGTGGCCCATCTTTGTCTCACTTTCTCAGTAAGTCAGATTATACTCTCTAAGTGTTTCTGATTAAGATATAAATCTGCAAGTTTTGCACTAGTAGTGTTGTTAGAAAATGTTTTGTAGACGGTTTCCTGCTGCATATATGGAAACCAGAGTCAATTGCGGAGTAAGTGCCAAAATGAGAGTGCATTCTTCTCCTCATTTTTTCATGTCTTTGAAAGAAATATTCTCTTTCACTTCATATACTGGTTCCATTTCATTGATAGCATTGCCAGAGATGCCAACCAGTACGATTTTACGTATTTTAGTACATTTTTTGCCGAAAATACGCGAATACGACTTTTCATGAGAAAATACCTTAGCGTACAAGAAACCATGCAGTGTACCCGCTCGCGGCGTGGCGAAACTGGAGGGCTGACTGGGAGCCTCAGTGTGCATGCGGCTATGCACGCAACGCAAGGCAAATGGTAGAGAAACACACCCTCTCTCTCCCCTTCTAACCACCCTCCCCCCCCTCTCTCTCTCTCTCTTTCTCTCTCTTCCTCTCTCTCACACACACACACACACACACACACACACACACACACACACACAAACTTTATAAGTTAACACTAATTTATGTAGAACATCCGATACATTGCCTCCAATTACATGTACATGTACTTGGGGTGAACTATCATCGTGAAAGTTCAAACGCTGATCATTTAATACCCCACCCCTTCCTTATTCAGGATGTCGCAGAACATAAATGGGCTTTAAATCTATCCGCACTTATACAAGTGTTGGTGAGAAACATGAAACAAAAGAAAAATACAGATCTTAGATCTTGATCTTGAATCTAGATCTATGAGTGATAAACAAAACGAAAAAAAAATGTTTTCATCAATAGGCTTATGGCTACAATGTTTGCTGGTAAAACATAAATATAGTGAATACTTGAAGATAAAAGTTTGAGATTTTATAGTACTACTTGACGTTAATCGGAAAAAAACATAGATCTAGCCAAAGGAAAAACAAACTGAATATGTCACAAAAGACATGCATGATTTTACATTGGTCGAGTGTCGCTAGAGTAGGAAGTGACCAACACTTTCTGGTATTATAGATCTAGTAGAATTCTAAGTGAGCTGGACTTCAGTTTATCACTTTGGTGTGATAAACCATACATGTTTTAGTTTGCTGAAAATTGGTACGAGAATACAGAATATCTGGCTTGCAGCGCAGTTATATATCAAAGAAGCTGTTGTGGCAATATACTCTGGAGATAGTAATAATATGAAATCTGTGAAAGGGAAGCATGCCAGTTTGTCACAGACCCAGTTTGTCACAGGCCCACGACCCCGCCTCGACTGTGCCCTGCATGACGGAAGTTTTCTCAATAAGAGTAAAAATGAATGATTGATTAATAGCATCATGAATTGAATTTTATTTTTCTATTGTTTTTAACGAAAGAACACTCCTCGTTCAAATTTTACAGAGTATTTTCCTTTGATTTGCATTTAAAAAAGGAAGAAATATGAACAACACAAGCTGAATTGCTATAAAAAAAAGGACTATCTTTACAATACCAATATGAACGTGGAGAATAAAAAAAATTAAGTTACGACTGCAGTGTTAAAGGGCTGTAATTATGACTGTCATCAATACTTCTATCTATACTTTAATGAAATTGTGACAAACTGGGCCTATGTCAAACTGGGCAGTGAATAGGCCTACTTTTTCATCAAAAACTTAGTAAACTTGTACAAGAAAGACATTTCAACGAGAAAAATAACAGAATAGATAGATAAATAAATAAGTAGAATTAATTAAAAAATCAGCTACTCACGTCCATTGGAAATGCATACATATATATATATATATATATATTTGTCTCCTTTATAGTTTATAGGTCCCACAATCCACTCTAATGTCGTGCTACCTTTGTTGATTTGTAAGAGAGCTTCGTTGCCTTCCTACTCGGTCCACAGTCTTGACTGTTGCTGCTGTTATGAACGGCAAATCTCTTCAGGAAGACGTTGGCAATGCATGTGAGGGTTTTCTTAGACACAACGAGATTTAAGTTAAAAGAGTCCACAAATCGTCTCATGATTGTAGCCAACCGAGCTCGACAGAGTTTTGAAACTGAATTTGTAAAGAAGTGAAGAGCTTCAATTGTATTATATCACCCTCACTTGCAAACACATGCATATAGATCTAGATGCAGCAACCATGTAGGTCCATTAGGCTAACAACTGAGGCTTGTAAGCTTTATTTTATCCTCATCCATTGCAACTACACCATCATGTGTTGTTGAGGATTTTTAAGAAATGACAAAGTTTTTCTCGAAAATTGCTGATTGATGTTTGCATTGCAGAGCAAGTCAGCGGCTTCAATATGTCCATACTCCGACCTTTGAAGTCACCGGTGGAGTTTTGTGTTGTTCTTGAATGAGCAACATTACGCAGTGTAGATGGGGGTACACTAGGAAAAATATTGGGAGGAACAGCAGGAGATGGATACCTAGATTTTCTGGTTATAGGAGCACCGGGTGGTCAGTGTATAGATCTGCAAACGCCCAAATGCCAAGTCACTTCACTGTGTTTCCAGTTGTGCCTTGGTATGCTGTCTATACCCACTTCTTACATTGCTTGGGGTCACTAGGAAAGGAATACACACTGACGTCCTTGTCCGATCCTCTTTTACTGTCATACTTTGAGGAGCATCCATACATGGGACACTTTTTTGTCATGATGGCCCTTGCAGACACAATAAAACACACCTTTTATCCGTCAGAAATTCACCCTGTAGGCCCACACATTCAAAACAAATCTATCTTAGTCTTAGTATGTTAGAACACAATGTGAAGAAATTTTACTGTATAAATACCGGTACAAGAATAGGCAACAAGTACCGGTAACAAGTGCGCTGCGTTAAATGCATGCACACGCACACTAATAGGACTACTACACACTACACACAAGGTAAGACAATAGGCCTTGCTCCTAATTGAGTAATTGAGTTTCGCGCGAACAATGCAGCGAGCGAATGGCAGGCGAGAACCCAGCCTCACAGATTCCTGCCTGGGAGGGCTGTCGGGACGCATGGTTTCTTGTACGCTAAGGAAAATACGCATCCTGGAATGCGAAAAATACGAGATTCAGCTTGGGCGAGTAAACCTAATTATCTCAAGTCCCATCTTTTGTCAAAATAGTATCAGTATCGCAGAACTGGAGTATTTGAAAACCAAGTCCGATGTGGTCAGTAAGTTAATTTTTGCCGGTCACGATCGTTTCGTTCAGCTTTTCCCCGTCCGGAGAGTACGTTTCACTTTCACGCGAATAGGCAGCTATGGCGGCAGGCGGAAGCGTATGTGACACCGAGGTTCGATCGGAAAAATCAAGATCTACTTTCTCTTTCGTTACCGCCGAGAAGTTTGCTAGCAGTTGTCTGATAACGCAACATTTGTGGCATGCAGGTTGTGCAGTATAAACGCAATGTCGCCGTGCAAATGAAATGTAAGAAATACTCGGACTCGTCGCTGTGCTGTCACTTGTGGGAAAAAGAAAAGAAAATACAAGCGTCGTCCGATTTTTAGATTGTCTGACTCGCCATCGTGGCCGGCCACTGAACCTGTGTGCGTTCGCATCATAAATAACGGCATCGGGTGAGCAAAAACCGTCTTTGGTGGGAGTAACGGCGTTGCGAAGTATATGACTACGGCATAGAGGAGGAGATTATTGATTTTTTGGGGGTTTAAGATACTATCCGGGGGGTTAAGGCAACACCAGAAGACAACAGAATTTTGATTAGTTTTGTGCAAAGCGCGCATTGGTGCAGGCCGTGTGCGGAATCGGAACTCCTCATACTTTGCAAGCCTGTGTTATTGAAATAAAATGTTCGCGTTTCATTGGATGGGTGATAGTAAATTATACCTACTTGGATGGGTGATAGTAAATTATACCTACAGTGTATGTTGTAGCTTTGTGTTCAAGACTGGCAGATTTTCAGTGTCACTGCATCTTGTCCTCCCACAGTTGTTACAACTCTCACGGTGCATGGGTCTACTTCAGCCATTCAAGTAATTGCTTTTCTCTGAGTTTGAGCAATAATTTGAGTCTGTCAGTTCATAATATGAATCATGACACCCAGACTGGTTCTTGATAGTCGAAATTCTTGTTCTAGGCCCTTCCGAACTCTCAAAGCAGGATTTATTTTTTATATAATAATGAGAGGAAAATATTATATAATAGACTGAAATTCTAAAGTCAAACAAGACCTCAGTACGACATTGAACACTAACATGTTGTTGACTGGATACATGTATATTGTACACGTGTGTGCTCCTTTTTTCGAGCTGGTGAGCTAGTAATTTTTTTTCAGGAAATATTGCTGGACACCCTGAACATTTTACTATTACTGGTTGGTCGGTCGTGGGGAATACACATTTTCCCCTGAAAATACACATTTTCATATTTCGCAATACTCATTTCGGTTTTCTGTGGTTGGCATCTCTGCATTTCCAAAAACAGTTTATGTCTTGTTGACAATTTCATCTCTGTCATTCTTATACATCTTCAGTATCATGGAAAAGCTCTTGCAAGCAATCTCAGAAGTCTATAGAACATTTGTGTGTGTGTGCCTGGTGAAAGGTTCCAAATGACTCATTTTTAACAATCCCGTTTTGTAGCATTTTCATGTGAAGGGATCATTTCAGAACAATGTGCTTTTTTTAATTTTTAAGATATCTTCAGTTGTTATTGAGATATGGGTGATTTTGTAAGGCAGGGTACGGAAGCAAAGTTTTGAGAAAGAATTTTCAAGAAATTAGATCTGGGTTTGCACAGGGAGGAAATATGCTATACAATTTGCTCTAAAAAAAATGAAAGGGTGTGGATGCGCAAAGCTTCGCTTTGTTTACATGTTCTAGATATTCATGCGCACTACTCGCCATTAGAGAGGGGAGAGAATGACCTAAATTTTGGTATGCAATGTGATTGGGTCGACTTTATGAATGGACAAGAGAAACCATCCGGAGTGTGTACTGGGAAAACCAATTTTCTCACACATTCTTTTGGGTTTATCTTGTGTTATAAAACATCTTTAAAAATGTATTTTGAAGTAAAAGAAACTCAAGTCCTTGTAAATATCGATATATAAATAGCTTAAGAATCCATTTTTAATGGAACTTAGTTTTTGTTCAAAATTCTATTTTTGACCTTTGAAGCCTGATATCTCGGTTAGAACAAATGCATCTTTTGGTACCTTTCACCAGGCATGCTCTCATTTTTTTCTTTGTTTTAATTTCATTATTTTTAGTTAAATCTATAATCATTTTCTATATGATAATAGCATGACTTTGTAAGTTAAAATTTTGTTTGAGGACATAGGAAATGTATCAATGCAGGCAAAAGGCATTTTGATTAGCCAATGCTCTCACAATTCTTTCAACTGTTTCTCTAAAGTCTAAAGGGAAAACTTGTTTCAGCAAAAGATCCAAAGGATGAAGATGCCTCTTGTCAGTCCTGGTAAATCCCACCGCATAAGTTCAAGGCGTCACTTCATGTTTGTGAGAGTGAGAAGTTTTCCAGAACTGCCGCTGACTGAATGTCTTCCATTGTTTTGTTTTGGATAATCTTATATAAAACTAATCTCTTCTGTATTTTTCTTCTTTTTCAAACCATAAATAGGTTTCGACTCAGAGTCTTTTGCAGGTGCATCAACAACTTCCTGCATGTTATTACAGTAAGTTGACATTTGCGTCTGATGTTGGCTCCGGAAAACCAGATAGATCCAAGAGGAAGAAGAAAAGTTCAAATCAGAAATCTTCACTCTCTGAAGTGGATTCTAGTCAAGTCACTGATGCTACCCGCTCCGAGCCGAAGGGGTCCCAGTTCTGGATGATCAATATGCACAAACGTCTAATGGAATCAGTATATCTGCCGCCTGTCAAAAAGAGTGAGTTTCTGCCACTTCACTCTTTCTTCCGCCCACTTGTTTTGCTCTGATGCTATACTGTGTATCTGTGTTTTATCTCAGGTCTGGCCCTTGCTTTAGAAACCATAGGACCCTATTATAGGGACCATTTCATTAAATGCAATCTTTAATTTGTATTTTTTAACAAGGGCTTTTCACCTGAAAGACGGAGAGGAGCCAGTTTGCTTAGATCAGCTGTTCAGGAGACTATTCTTAATTAATCCGAATTAGAAACTGGAAAAATGCTGGTTTGCATAAATAAATAAGAGTGCCTTTGAAATGTACATGTGGTGGCCAGAAACGCAAGGGAGACTTTTTTAATTTGGAAAGATGGTTATATAATAATAGGTTTAAGTTGGTTCAGCTGTGGGTTAAAGTATCTTCTGTTGACTATTCCTGAAGCAGGGTCAACAAAGAAGAATGCCAGCATCTGTAGGATCATAGAATAAGTACAGACAATCGCTGGTTTCACCCTTTTGTCAAATTGGAAAACATGTTGGCTTCCAAGTTTTATTGTGAAAGGATTTGATAGAACTGGTTCTATAACTGTTAAAAGGCAATTTTACTTGACAAGTTGATGAGCTTTTACAGTATTTTTACGATGTCTTGAAGATATTTCTATTAACTCTCTCAATATCTCCCCAGGTTACCCCAGATATAGTGAAGATTTCTTGCAGTCATTGTCAACACTTGACCTCATGTCACAAGCCAGAAATATCCAGCATGTGGATAAAGAAACAATGAAAGTCATTACTGCGCTGTGGAGGCGTCTGGACTCCATGACGATGGAAGAAATGATCACAGTGGCTGACATCTTCTACATGAACCAGGTCCCTAACCCATGGTACACAACAGCCCTTATTTCCTACATCACTGAAATGTTTGATCTTCTTTACATGACCCCTCACCAACTGACGCGGTTCACGATGCATGTGGCATGCCACGCCCATTCTCCTCCCTATTTGCAGATTGCTTTAGAACAAAGACTTGCTGAGACTTTGGATGAATTCAATATAAACCAGGTGTGTGTGTGCTGCCATTTGTTCTTTTTTGGAAGAACAAGAATTAAATCTGCTACCCTTTTGGATCGGATTGGTCAGAAACTGTTGGATGAATTCGATACTGTAAAAAATTGGTACTTACCGATGATAATGAAGACTTTCAGGCTTTCAAATTATGTGAAAGTGAGTTTCTACAAATCTCTGGGAGACCTGATTGTGAAAACAGACTATTTCTCTCAGTACAGAACTGTAGGTCAGATGATGCACTTTGCCTTTGCCTTCGCCTCGGTGCGCGTCACACACCCTGATCTATTCCTCTACCTTTTACGTCAGTGTCTGAGACCACAATTCAAACGCAGGTTCAAAGACATTCCCAAGATCATTTGGGCATGTGGCACGCTGGTCACCAATGATCGGGAGCATCTGAATCTTGTGCACATGATTTTAAAGAAAACTCGGTTCCAGAAAGAAGACATGCAGAGGTATCCTGACAATTTGGCTGACTTACTGATGGGTCTGGCTTTCCTGGGTATCTACCCTCCTACACTGCTGGACTGGTTGTTTGAGCCCTCCATGGTCAAGGCATTGACAGGTACAATTGAGATTTTGTTTTATCTGCTTTCACATACATATCTGAGTACTTTAGTGACGACATATTCTTTGACATATGCACTTAATAATTTGTTAAGATTAGGTTCCATTTATCTCTCAGTACTTTGGTGAAGGTGTAAGTTGGTAGCTACTCTTAAGAAAGAATGTTTTAGACAGTTTCACACACCTTTCAATACATTGATTGAAAGGTACATTGAAGCTTTGTTTTTATGCATCTTTCTTTATCTTTGACGACTTTGACAGGTGACTGACTCCAAAAAAGGTTTTGTTGGGCTTAGTTATTTATTTTTTATATGCTTCAGATATAGGTATGACAGCCCTTTTTTATATTGTGTATTTTCAAAAGAGCTTTTTATATATATATTAAGCCTTTTTCACTCTTTGTTTTTGGGTTTGTTTATTGTTTTTTGTTGGGGGTTGTTTTTTTTTTGGGGGGGGGGGGGTCTGTTCCAGTTTGACTCTAATGCTTTACAGTACTTTTTCTCTTTAGAAAGAATAGTTCTATCTAAGGACGGAACCCACAAAACATTTGCTTTCAGAAAGTTGGTCTGTTTGCATTTAGAAATGTCTCTCATTCACAGGCCTGAAAAAAGAGAGAGAAAAGTTTTTGCAACTGCAGTTCTTAGACAACAGTTTGAGGATTGAATGTCCAAAGTACACAGGGAACCGTCTTTCAGAGGTAAAAAATTTGGTCTGCTCAGTTTCTCCTTTGATCTTGAATTGCAAATGTTTTATGTGCTTTACTAGTTTATTTTTATATAGGACAGATTTTCCTTTTTTGTGGGTGGTTGTCACTTTACACTGACACACTGCAAGTTTGCGATTGTTTTCAGTGAAGGATTCAGTACTCATCTTCTTTGAATGTTTTGTGGACCATTGAAAACTGTAACAATATTTCTTTTTATGCGAATAGTTTACTCAACTAAGTGCTTAATCACTTTTTTACTGTTTAAATGACTGGAAGAAAGTTCTGCCTTGTGAATAGAAAATATTTCTCTTTTAAATCAGACCAACTGGTATTTTCATGCTGTTGTCAGACAATATTTTTACTCACCTGAGAGAAAAAGCAGTGTAACGTTTGTGTTGAAACTACTTTCTTGATTTGCCTCAGACTGATCACAAAGGATATTTCAAAGTCTTAAACAGTAGGTACTCAGTCACAAAAGATTCTGAGGTAATTTTTATCAACTGTTACTTTGACTTTCTTCCCAGGCTTACCGTGATGTTGTGAGTGCAAAGCTGTCCAAATTCCGTCCTGAGATTGACACACAACTCCGCAAGAGCATCAATCCGGCTGTGTCTGCACTCAGGGATGCTGTGGGCTCGGAATGTGTTGCCTGTGACTTTATCTTACCACACGTCAAGTCTGCAGGTGTGTTGCTGCCTATTTCAAAGCATGTCAGGTTTTTTTACATAGTACTGTATTTTTGTACCTGAAAATAGTTTGGGTTTTTGTGTTGCAGCAAAATTCTGTTTTCTGTTGGAAGAGGAAAATTTTTTTTCTATCCTAACGATGCTTCTTTTGTTAATTATAAAGAATATGTTACTTTTACCTTTAAAGAGTTTTTTCTGCCCAGCACAGTGACAGCTCTTTTTATGACAAACAGATGGGTGCGTTATATCAATTTATTTGAGGTGGCAATTTATTAAGCCTTTTCTTTTTAGAATTATATGAAATATTGTTTTATTTCAAATGTTTTGGTATTCTGAAGGATGTCTAAAAATCAAAGGACAGGTACAAATATATTGGGAATACAATTTTTAGCTCTTGACTATTGCATCATTCACGACGCACAGAAACAGGATACTTTAGTTGAGAACTCAGGTAACCAGTGGCGCGCTGACCTGTGACGGGGAACGGGGTCATCGCGTGGGCATTCTTCGGTCAGCGTGACCGCGCGGGAGGTTTAGAAAATCGTATTTTTCATTCTGAATTGAGCCCTAATTAACACAATAACATTGACTTAAAGACATCACTGCATGCGGGCATCAGTAGTTCCAAGTCTTTTTCATGATATTTCAAAAACAAAAAGAATCAGCATTGGTCTGTTTAGTTGTAACAGACTGTGCAAGATGGTCATGTCTGATTCCCGATATTGTTTCTAGTTATGATGTAATGAACGCCGATAATTTGAAAACTGAGCCTCAGGATTAGTTCATCTTTAAGGGACACAAACGTAACACATAAGGGTATCTACTCACCAAATTTCACTGCTACCGCAGTTTGTGTGACCTCAAAATGGTTCATCTATGTATCACATTGTCGTAAATATCCACATATTTCCCTCTCTTGGAAGACAATAACTCCATACGAATCATGGCGTAGGCTATAGGTTTTATTCTCTATATAAGTCTTGTTGTTAATTGTTTTTCTTTTTTAGTGAGTGGGTGTGTCTCTGTCTTACTCATTGCATGGCTGATGGTTTCTATGTCTTTGATCATGGGAGATGTTGTGCTGTCTTGGGTAGGCCTAACTGTTTCATGTATCTGGGCTGGAGTTGATGAAGCCAAGGGAGTCGCAGAAAATGTTTGGCCTTTAGTGGGTGTGAATGATGACGATGGAGAAACACGGACAGTGCTTACGCTGTGCTCACAACTGCTATCATGCGGTATGGGAGAATTTGTGACCGATGTTGTCTGACTGATTGTGTCGGTGTGAGCTACGATGTGACTGTCCTGAACCATTGTGTCTGCATGTTGTACACCTACGTGTTGGTCATTGACTGGGACAACAGACTGAGGGTGGGTGTGGCAAGTATGACTTGTACTTGTGTGTGGGTCGTTTTGTTGTGTTGAGTCTGTGGTGAGAGCACGGGTACATGTACTCTGTGTGGTTGTGTCTGTCTCAGAAATGTTGGTGCTAGGACTAGCTTGGTGGGTGTATTTTTCATGGCTGCTGGAGTGAGACTGGGGGTCACGGGGCTTTACTGTTGCACAGCCAGAGAGAGCAGCCTTTTCTGTTCACAGACTGCATGTTTTTGCCTCACAGTTTCCATTGTAAGCACACCAGATGTGTTGACTGCTGTCAAAAGTGTTTCTTAGTGTTTGTAGGGACCCTGCACTATTTCGACGTTTAGCGTCATGGATTGTTTTATAGCATTTCAAACACACAAATTTGGAGTGTTTATCACTAGCGTCATCTTTGATACTCAACCCAAACACAAGGAAGAGGTCACTGGCTATTTCCGAACATAAATACGGCTTTTTATAGGATTTTCTCTGCTTCCCTGTAATGTTCAGTCTTCCGCACACTCTACACAGACAGTTTAAAGCGGATACATGACTTTCACTGACTTTCAGGGGTGTGCTCCATTTTAAGGTCTCCGTTGTATACGGCAATAACGTTAGTCAATTCGGGGGCCCAACATAATAATCCGATGTAGCTTAACAACCACAACTGCGGTAGTACTGAAATTTATACACTCAAAACATGATTTATTAATGAACTCACAAATCGAATCCCCCAAAAAATTCAATGCACCGTTTTGTTGTAATAAATGATTATTTATCCTCAGTTTGAAATAAGAAAAGCGTGTTACACAGGCAGCAAACAGACACGTGTAGAACACTTGGTATAACACATAGGAGACTGGGACTTTCTTTTAAAGGTTGAGAAATGGTGTTGCTAAAGTCTATAAATTAAAACTACTTGGTGGGTCTTACGGCACCACTGTAATTTAGACAGTAAATGAGACGATTTTATCAAGAACGCACCCCAGTTTATAACGGTGCGACGGGGTCAAATGACCCCAATAAAAAAGGTCAACAGGTACCGGGCGAGGTGATAAATCACCGCCGGGCGGCAGGAGCCGCGGTACAACTAAAAGGCGCGATTTCAGCTGATTTTGTGCGCCGTGCATTCAATCTCTCTATTTGTGCTACGAAAGATTTTTGACTCATTCAGGAAATAATTTTCTTCCGCTGCTGAAACCATTTGGTTGTAATCAATTTGTATTTCTTCTCTTCTTCTTCTATCCCATGGTTGGGGCAACTGTTGGGGCACCACTGCATTGGAAAACCAGCTCTCGCCATCTATTTTTGTCCTCTGCTCTCCTCAGATTGTCACCCATCGTCTTTCCTGTCCACTCTGTAATGTTGTCCTCCCATCTCCTTCTCTGCCTTCCTCTCTTTCTCTTTCCTTGTACGGTTCCTTGCAGGATTGTTTTGGCAAGTCCTGTGGATCTTGTGACATGCCCATACCATTTTAGTTTTCGTCTCTTCACTGTGGTCAGTAGATCTTCATATTGCCCCACTGCGTTGGTGATTCTCTTTTGTACTTCAGCATTTGAAACGTGATCAATTTGTACTACTACTTCCCAAATCAGTTTGAGGATATGGGAATAAAACGGAGCAAGATGGTCCACAAACTGAGTAGATTTCGTTTCAGAAGGCTTTTTTCTCTTCTTTTTTTTTTTTAAGTAAGTGCTTTACGGCGCTCGCAACTGCTTAAAGGTCACATGAGTGCATTGGACACATTAAACATTTTCAGTTGGTAGGAAATTTTGAATTTTGCTCAGATAACGGCCAAAGCCTACTCTTTTATCGATTGTAGACCACAAAGGGATCTTTAACGTGGGCAACAGGACCTCCGAGATTTTTTTGCCGTTGTCCGAAAAGGCTAGGTGTAGATCTTTCCTACCAGAAGATCAGGGATGCGGCTGAAAGACATCCGTAAGAAGGAGCCAAGGAGTAGTAGTAAAAAGGTTGCAGAAAGAGTCAGGAGCCCAGAGGAGGGGGCAGAGGAGGTGTGGGGGTTGGGGGTAGAAAGTGGAGACGAAAGCAGACAACAAGCCATTGCCAGAGAGCAAGAAAGGAGGTGAAAGGAGACCATTTAGAGAAGAAAAATTTCCTTCGCTATCCAGGTTTGTACCCGGGACCTATTGAATGAGAGGCCAACACCTTAACCTCTAGGCCATGAGAGCCCCCCCCCCCCCCCCCCCCCCCCCGGCTTTTCTCTCACATTTGAGATGTTTACTGATGTTACAACAGTAACATATTTTTGCATCTCTCCAACTCCTGTAATACATTATTATTATTCTTTGCTTTTCCTCCCAGATATTTTGCTTTGCTTTGATCGTGAAACACGGGAGTTCATCCCTCCTGCAACTGTTCAATGGGATGGCAAAAATTCTCCAGGTCTTTCCAACTCTAGGGATAAAGAGAAGCTCCAGCAGTATGTACTTTTTGTTCTTATTTTTGCTTTAAAAAGAATTGCACAAGTTCATGAAATTACTCCTCTCTATTCTTCTGTATAAAAGTATTAATGTGAGGAGGCTAATAGTCATTTGTATTTATTTGTTTTGTTTTTTCAATGTTTTAGCACAGAAAGTGTGCCCGAAGAAAGTCAGTGTGATGTTTCAGTTGATTATAGGTGCATGCTATGTAATTGCAATGTAAGGAAGGGCTTTATTTTGTCAATGAACGCTTTTTTAAAAGCCAAATAGAAATACATGTGAAATCTACGGTCTAGCATGTACATATATCAAACAGATTTTCAGGTCCAATTTTTTTCTTTTATGGTATGCATGTGTATTCTTTGTATTGACAGGTACATAAAGAAATTCGTACATAATTAGGGTTTTCGCATCCCACTGTCCGACTTCACTATGTGCATGCTCAGTGGCCGTGGGTGGACCAAAATTTGTGTGGGGCTTAGGTCGCTTCCACTGCTTTACCACCAAATAGCAAGCAATAAGAACAAAACAGTTTCTATACTTACGGCGAGCCAGGGCATTTTGAGAACCATTCATACGTGAAGAGTCACCTTTGTCTTCCTTCTCTTTTGTTCTATGTTAAATTCTTCTGGATGATGGGGACGAAACCATTTCACCTCCAAATTTCTGTAACTAATTTTCATCTGATGAAAATGTTACCTCAAATGTGGTTTGATGTAATTAATAATGATAATAATAATAATAAATTGCATTTATACTGCACATTTCCATTTTCAAAAAAAATGCTCAATGCGCATTACAACACATCACATCTTGAAAATTAATCTATGTGTGTGTACGTAAAACATACATATAATATAAATGTATATGTGTAAAAAATGTTATGAGAAAAACAGTCAACATTTAAAACGGATAGGGTAAAAAGACCTGCATTGTGTCTAGTATGGTATTGTTCTTCAATTGCAGTGAGGTTGGAAATGTGTTCTCTAAAAAAAAATTTTTTTTTAAATTAATAACTGTTAAATCTCAGCAGCACACACACACAAACATGCCTACAAAGCACTCCAAACATATACCGTCTATTAGCTGGATTAGGCTGTGTAGTCGCGGAAAGTAGAACGCACCTGACAAAGGTCCAATGATGGGTTCATAGGTAACTATGTCACTGGGGGAAAGTGAGTCGTAACCTTTCACCCCATTGTCAGGGCTAGGAGAGCATGAGCCCTCTGTGCAGTGTTATTTTTTTCAAGTCTTCTACCTTTTTATACAAGGGGTTTCATTGAGAGGAACCGTGGGAACGGGCTCGTCCTTTGCTGAGCCCAAAAGACATTTGATTGGCTGTTAGGTTACTATAGCTGCAAGTGGTCACAGTAGTGATTTGATAAACGAGAAAGCCGCCAAGTTGATCACTCTGTGTTCATTGCGTGCGATCATACCGGTTTTAAAGGCTTCTTTCGTTATTTTCATTTGCTTTGAGATAGGGTTGGGGGGGGGGGGGGGGGAGAGGGGGGCTCAAGCCCATGAGTCCTTTACTACCCACCGCCACTGTGCTTGCTTGATTACTACTTATGCTTTTTTAACATTTTTTATTTTGAAATTTGCACAGAAAGAGTAAGTTATATAGTCTGTAAGTCTAAAGTACTGGTAGATAGACAGTTGCACCCAATGAACAGCTTTATGTACACTTTCTTTTGTACATTATTATTACTGTTAGATACCCACTCTTTGTGACCTGATGCTTACAGTCAGTCCACTTTGTTGTTGCGTCCTCAGCATTGTGATTGTTCTTCTGAGTCGACCTCAGACTAGCTTTGATGGCAAGCTGCTTGGCCTGGTACACACCAAACTCCGGCAATTGAGGTGCTTAGGATTTAAAGTAATCACAGTAAGTAGCAGCCTTGTCTTTTTGTGAAGTGATGGAAAAAATCAAATTGTGTCACGACGCGGTGGAATCAGACACTCGTCAATTTTTGGGCTTGTGGAGCTATTGGTATTAATAGAAGTCGAGATATTTGCTATGGGAGGAGATAGGAGTTGTCTGGTTTCGGGGATAACATTAGCGAGAAAATGGCCACCAAAGTTTGGTAACTTACAAAGCTTGTGAGTTCCTTTTTTTTTGGCCTTTAATCTACCTGTGTCAATAAAATCCACAAACAAATGTGTTTTGAAATGGACATAAAAGGTGTTGAGCAAAAAAAAAATGCATCAAAATTGCCAAACTGGCGGAAAAACGCCGATTTCTCAGATTTCATCATTTTGACAAGCGCCTGATTTCACCATGATGACTCACAATTAGATTTAACTTTCTCTCAATGCAAGGACTATGGTAGTTTTATTAGGTAAGACTTTCATTGTAAATGTCATGGAATCTGTTCCTGTCTGTATTGGTCCTGCTGCACATAGTGGTGCAGTAGGTTATAGATTTATTCTGCATCACAGAAGCACACAAGTTCAAGGTTCTAATCTGTGTGGGGTCTTGTTTACTTTTTTAGTCCTTTATTGAATATTAATACATGTATATCCACCCTGCATTGTGTACTGATAGTGATAGATTACCAAAAGCCCTGCTTTCTAACCCTATCCATACGCCCTGGGGTCATTTTGTACCCCCGGGTTGTATTCTTCACATTTTAGAATACTTCTAGTACAAAGATCTCTTTGAAACTTTCATCTCAAAAAATCATTATGACAGACTGCTATGCAAAGCGTACGGATCGGATTAACGAGTAAATTTCCTCTTTGAAAGTGGTGGCACGAGTTCCCCACGTTGTATGGATACGATAGTAAAACACGACGAACGGATAGGGTAAAAAGACCTGCATTGTGTCTAGTATGGTATTGTTCTTCAATTGCAGTGAAAAAATTTGGGATAGCATTGTATCATTGGGAAACACTATGAACTTGATTTTCCTACTCGCCACTCAGGCATGTGTTAGGGACCTATACTGGCATGGGGAGAAGGGAGTATATGCTTGTTGGATAGAACCTATGACTGATAAGTGTCCTTCCATCAAGTGAATGTGTATCAAATGAATCTGTTCCACTTTAAATCAAGGATCAAGGACACAGTACATGCAACCAGTTTTTTAAATGTTGACCTTTGAATGTAATGCTCTTCATAGCTTTGGAACAGTGAAATCTCATTATGTATGGCTAGTTTTGCCTCCCAATAAAATTGCTTATTGGATATTCTATAATTTCCTTTAGGCTCACAAAGGCAGAGTTTTAGAAAAAGGTAAAATTTTGTAAGGCGATCTAATTTATTTAGTGTCTGTGGAGGCAGCACACTCTCTACTCGAAAGCTTTCCCTCCTTTCGTAATAGTAAAAAGCTAATTTGACGATACATGTTTATGAGAATGTGCTGAAGTTGCTCATAAAATGTATCATATTCAATATTCGTATGAGTTTTTAGAGTTGCTCTGATTTTTTTTTTGTCTACCCCAGATACCAGCTGAAGAAGCTCTTCTGTACACTATACAGGACAGAATGTCCACACAGCAGGCTTTGATGTCACATGTGCAAGAGGTCATCCAAACTGTGTGAAAAGAATTATCCCCTTTTGCGGTGATAAATTCTTTTGGTTTTTTCATATTGCTGGGTAATCATTTCCGAAAACAAAGGATATTTATTACTGTACATTTCCATGTACTAGGATGTGCAAGCTGTGGGTTGTTTGAAAATTTCTTCATTGTTTCGTAAAAAACGTTATTGAAATGCAGCAGTCTTTGAATACTTATCTGTTCCACCACAGTGAAATCTGATCTCAAAATAAAAAGGATATCAGTTTTGTGATAATTTTTTAATCCTCTGAAGTAATCACTGTAATGTGTAGTAAATGTGCAAATAGAATCCATTCAGTCAGAAAAGGAAAATTCCCCACAACTTGTGTTGTTTTGTTTGTTTGAGCTGGCTTGATTCTTTAAATTGTATGCACTGAACTTTGTTGACATTGAATTTGCAATGGTTTTATTATGGTAACTTTGGCTGGCAAAGTAAACTATCTGTGGGGTTAATTTAGTCTATCATGGGTGCTGATTTGAGCAAGTCGCTTTAACTTGACCTCAAAGACAATGATCTACACTGTGGCAGCCAGTGTTGGTTTGTTAATTTTTGTTTGAATTTGTTAATTTATTGTTTCCTTTGCACACTGAATGTGTCATTTGTTCGATTTCTGTGCCTTTGTGTATGCCATTGTCAGACTGATTTTTGAATCAAAATAATGAAGTGACATTTGTTTTTCTATACTATTTATTGTAACTTCCTCGGTATGTTTGTTCTGCACTGTGTTAGGGTGTGTTGTTTGTTCAGTTGCATTATGTTCAGTTGCTGTTCCAGCAACAGTTTTAGATCATAAAAAGGTCAATTAGAAAATTTGTGTTAGTTTACTTGTCTTGGACCTGTAATATAATGGATGATAATAATTGTCCTATTCTGATGTGTTAAAAAAGGCCTAGAAAATAGGCAAAACCAAATCACAGCTGAGTGTTAGACCAGAGCCTAACTTACTTTCCCCAGAGTGTATTTATACCAAAGATAGTACAAGACAAGATGGGTCACTCAGCCTAAAAAGTGTCCGCAGGAAGTATGCTCTTTGCTTCAGATGGCGCTGCAGTCTGTTTTGAAGCTCTCTTTCGTTTTTCCAGAAGAAGAATAGGAATAGCACTTCCTTGCGTGCGCAGATCGACTGCTGTTCATCAGCAGTTCGGGTACGTTCAGTGCGGAGTTTTAGTTGTTTAAAATTTTAATGACCTCTCGCCCTTCATTCTAAAGTCAAATTAAACGAAGAAAACCATCTCCTTTTCCTCCGGAAGAGGTTGTTTGTCAGCGTAACCATTTTTAAAAAGCGTTCTTCCGAAATTTATCCCAAAACTTGCTAGTTTCACTTTGATTTTTAAAAACTCAAGTAGGGTAACTCTGTTCGCAAAGAGTGCGCTTTTGTGAAGAGGGCGCCACCAAATTCTGAGGACACTTTTTTAATTGGCTCAAAGAGAGAAGTGGCCCATCTAGCCTCAGCAGCACAAAGTCTGCTTCGACCATCCAGGCACCCCGAAAATAGCAGTTCACAAGAGAGTGACAAACATACAAAAGAAGTAGAGGAAAAATTACAAAAGTAAGGATGAGGAAAGAAAAAGCAGCAGTTCCTCCTATGTTGTTCCAGCACAGTATGAGCATGACATCGTTAGAATCAGCCCACATTCTACAATTCTACTATGCTTATAATAAGAAAATACTAATATCCCCCCCCCCCTTGTCAATGACTCTATCAGGGGAACACATGAGACATACAATCATACAGTACTAGTAGTAGTAAGTCATTTGGTTTATGTTGGGCAAACTTGCGGGAGTGGGTGGTTGGTGGGTGCTCTGATGTGGTTTGCTTCTTCTTTCCTCTCAAACATTTATCGTCCTTATCTTCCCATCTTCTTTTTTACATTTGTTACTCTCTTGTAACGCTTCTAATCTTCTGGTGCTCATATAACCTTTTGCAGTTGCGAGCGCTGTAAAACCTCTACATGTACTAAAACTAGAAAGACTTGCTGGTGACTTTTTGGCTGGATGATGCATCCTTCATGATAAACCATTCATGATTAAAATATTTCTTTTGCTTTCCATCCACAAAAGGGATGCCAAAATTCTGCTGTTTGATGTGGTCCCAGTCTGTTTGTTTTAGTAGAGGTTTTATGGCTCTTGCAACTGCCTAAGGTTTTATGAGCGCCAAGAGATGGATGTCAACAGAGAAGTCCTTACAGGGAATCAGACTTACTCTACTCACTTCTCTAACTTCAACAGCACAAAGTCTGCTTCAACTAACAAGGCACTCTGGAAAAAGCAGATGACAAGAGTGTGACAAACATACAAAAGAAGTAGAGGAAAATGAATATAGTAAGGATTAGGAAAGAAAAATCAGCAGTTCCCTTTTGCAGTTCAGGCACAGTTGTGAGCATGACATTGATGAATCAGCAAATTTACAATTACAGTTCTACAGTGCATTAGAACATGGTTAATGTCCCCCCTTTTGGAATGGCTTAAAGACACTTCAGTCAGTAGCACCGCCCCGGGAGGTGTGGTCCCAGTCTCTTGGTGAGCTTTGCTTCACGTAATAAAGAATTGAAGTGAATTTCCCAAAGTATTCTACTCGATACAATGCTGCATTGAAGAATAAACATTAGATTCCCATTTTTTAAAATTACCTCAACTCGCTGAAGCAATACAAAGGCGCTTGCTTCATTGGTTGTCTGATATCCACACACAGAACACAAGTGTTCATAGTACACAAGAGACTAACAGTTATTACGCTCAAAACTTCATTGAAATAAAAACACATAGCCTAAGCCCGATGACAATCATCACAGTAACACGGCTTAACCAAAGAAAACAAAGATAGCTGAGGGGAAAAAAGAGGGGAGGAGGAGGAGGCGTACTCAGTCTGCACTTTGGCCTGGACCCCCAAGGGTGTGCAAATTTGGTGTCAACAGTCAAGTGCGTGATGCCTATTCATGTGACGCAGTGCAGCTTCAGCCCCAGAGCCTAACAGATCCATCAGTTGCTTTGTCCCGGCCTTGAACCGTGCAAGGTCAAGATCCCAGTGATTTTCATTTGGTGGGAACTTAAGCGCTGGGGCTCAAGGGACAAACCAATGAAATTTCATTCTCTGCAATGGAAGAGGCACCAGATTGGACGGAGCTATAAAGTCGCAATAATAGTAGTAGACACACAGTCCAATCAGACCACTTTCGAGTTGTTATGCCTCCGAAGTTTTGTTTGGGTGTTGGTGGATTTTTGCTTTTTATCGATCTTTTGTTCCTTAACAAATTTTGGGGTGAAGGAAACTAGGTGGGTCTGAAGCTGCAAGCCCCATCCAACAAGACGTCGCAGATGGTGAGCAGTCGTCAGTTAGTGCTGGGAAAAAATAAGACATGAAAGACAGAAATAACAGAGAGAAAGAAAAAAAGTAGCACCTACCAGTGACACTATCAGAGGACCAGGGCTTAATTAATGATTAAAATTGTGGGTGCATGTTTAGTTTTAGTAAGAGGCACCAAGAGTTTTATGGCACTTGCAACACAATTTGGTCATACAAGTTCCAAAGATAGGAAATGTTATTATTAATATAGAGTAATTCATACATGTGTACTAAAGAAGAAATTTAGTTTCAATAAGAGTCAAGTAGAGAACAAATTGCAAACAGAAACACTGATAAAAGTATATGGAAAGAAGAGAATTGGGAGAGGATACATTAAAGGAACACCATGGTGGAATGACAGCGTCAAAGAGGCCATCAAAGAAAAGAAGAAACTTTTTCAGAAATGGATAAAATCCAGGGACGAAAACGACTACACGCAATACAGAGTGGCAAGAAGGAACTGCAAAAGAATTGTTAGAGCATCAAAAAATGAATCTTGGAGAAAATATGGAGAGCACCTAAGCAAACTGCGCCATAAATCACCACGTGACTTGAACAGGAGTGTAAAATCAAAAAGGCTCAGAGAAGAACCGTATGACCCAACAATTATTAATTAATGACAAAACAGGAAACCCCTTTATCGACAGCTCCAAAATTAAATCTAAACTCGCACAAAAAAAAGTCAAAGAACAAAAATTCGAATAAAGATAACTGAAGAACATTTTAACCGAATTTATTCATTTTTTCACAAAAGAGACTTTCGACTCTCTAGATTAAGTGTGAACAATTTCACATTTCAACAACAACGAGAAGTTTATGTAAAATGAGTTTAAGTCACACTGGTCGGATTTCAAAAGTCTGAACAGCCAAAGTTCTTCATGAACATTGTCAATAGTGGATGTAGCCACTCCGTTTGATCAAACACTGGGCAAAGCGTCGATGCATTGACAGGACATGCCTTCGGAGAACTTGTTGGGGTAGGTTCTGCATTCCTGGACGAAGTAGCCCAAGAGTTGTTGAAGGTTTTGTGCAGGAGGGTGATTGTCCCTTATCCACCGGTCAATGTGATCCCAAAATGTTCTCTGTTGGGTTCAAATCCGGAATACAAGCTGGTCAGTCCATGCAGGTGACAGCTCGCTGCTGCAGGAAGTCCCCCACGATGCGTGCGCGATATGGCGTTACGTTGTCGTCCTGCAGTACAGCCTGGGGTCCAATCTGCTTCAGGAGAGGAACAGCAAGGGGACGCAGGATTTCCTCCCTGTACCTAGCCGAGGTCAAATTGCCCTGTTTATGGCACACGGGGTCCTGTGGGGAGCTGAGAAGCCTCCCTACACCAGAACGGACCCTGCAAAGTAGGGCGCCATCTGCTGGATGCACTCAGGGTGGAACAGCTCTCCTCGGCGCCTCCAGACGTGGGCTCGCCTGTCTGGATACAGCAAGTTGAATCTGGATTCGTTCGAGAAGACTACCTGGCCCCACTGACATTGTGTCCACTGTGAATGATGAGCAGGCCACGCCCGACGAGCTGCTTTGTTGGGTGGCGTGTGCCTTGGGCGCCTGGCAGGGACACGAGAAACGAACTTGGTTCTACGGATACGGTTCCTTACCGTCTCCTCGCTCTCGTTGACATTGGCTGTCACCCGCAGTTGGTCCCTGATGCCGTTTGCAGTGGTGGTTCGTGACATCATGGCCTGTTTGACGATGAACCGGTCGAAGCTGTTGTTGGTCAAACGGGGTGGCCCTGGTCGAGGCCTGTCCTGGACCTTTCAGGTCGCTTGCCATTGTTCTTGCAGCATCTATATGACTTATGGACACACCCCAAGTCGATGTGCAACAACTGGGAACGTGGAGCCGTCTTGGAGCCAGGTAAGGGCTCGTCCTCTGTCGACGTCAGGCAGCGAGTGTTGTTGGACCATCGTGTTGTAATGAAACATGGCACAAAAACGCTGGCTTATAAAGGGTTGTAAGTGAGCAATATTCACAGCTAAGACATTTGTTTAGCACGTGCCAAGGTTAGTTTTAGCTAACAGTCCCTATGCCAATGTTGCTGAGTCAGAGAAATTTAGCTCATTTTTCGTCCGTGTTTCAGAATGCCCTGCGCCGTCGCTATGAAGCTGGTGCTTGCAAATTTGCCGTACAGGCAAACTGTGTCTAGTCGTCAGTGCGTGTGCCAAGTTTGGTTGACTGATCATAACGTGTATGTGGTGAGATATATTGAAGTTTGAATTTGATAGGTGAAAACACAAGCTGTTCCTTGACTTTTTTTGGGCGAGTTTAGATGGAAGGAATATTTTTCAGAACTCTTGAACACCACTCAAAGGCAAACAAAGAATTCCAACCAAGTTACCCAGAGGAAGAAGAACCAACCGTCTTAGTTTTCGTTTTAGTAGAGGTTTTACGGCGCTCGCAACTGCATAAGATCATATAAGTGCAGAAGATTAGAGGTGTTACAAGAGAGTAACAAACACAAAAAAAGAAGGAGGGGAGATCAGGACGATAGATGTTTGATAGGAAAGAAGGAGCAAACCACACCAGAGCACCCGCCAACCACCCACAACCAACCAACCAACCAACCAACCAACCAACCAACCATCCTACCATCAGAGGTCAGACAAGCAGTTAAAACCAGCCCAAAAAACAGAAGTGCAGGAATAGATGAGCTCACCACGGAGAGCATCCTAGCATGTGGTGAAACTGGAATAACTTGGCTCACTAAAATCTTCCAGAAAGCATGGACAGAAAGAAAAGTTCCCGGCGACTGGCAAAAAGCGGTCATAGTACCAATCTGGAAGAAGAAAGGTAGCAAGAGAGACTGTGGAATGTATAAAGGCATTTCACTGCTAAGCCATGGGGGCAAGATGTTCGCCGAGATACTGGAATGTCGAACAAGACACAAAATTGAACCATTTCTGCGTGAGGCCTAAATAGGTTTTAGAAAGGGAACAGGATGCACCGACGCAATATTTGCCCTACGACAAATGTGCGAAAGGGTAATAGAACACAACGGGGAACTAAATATAGTATTTATCAACCAGGATAAAGCGTTCGACAGAGCGAACAAAAACAAGCTATGGAAAGAACTCGAAAACAACACCGTAAGAGGCCAACTTCTAGATAACATCCGTGCCAATTACGAGAACGACATAAGTACAGTAAGAAAGTCGGAGGGATTCACAGAATGGTTCGAGATAACATCCGGAGTAAGACAAGGTTGTGTCCTATCACCATTACTATTTATCATATATATGGATATAAATAAAAAAGAGGCCCACACAGAACCAGACGCCCTAAACAAATTACTCTTCGCTCATGACCAAAGCCTTACACACAAAGATGAAAAAAGTCTCCAACACCACACCACCAGATTAAACAAAGGATGTAACAACTACAACATGAAGATCAACATCAACAAAACAGAGACAATGAAAGTATGCAGAAAGCCAGGACCATTCAGAATACACATCAACAGCAACAGTCTCAGACAGGTCCAAGAATTTAAGTACTTCGGAAGTATATTCACAGAGGATGGGCGATGGAACAGAGAAATTGAAACACGAGTACAAAAGGCCAATAATGTCAGTTACCAGCTTACTCCACTACTGAAACATCCTAACATCCCCATGACAACAAAACTCAAAATGACCAAAACCATATTCATCCCAACACCCACCTATCAATGCCAAACATGGACCACCAACAAGACATTAGAGCAAAGAATTACAACAAGTGAGATGTGATGCCTTAGAAAAGCAGTAAAAAAGACCAGGCGAGACAAAATCAGAAACTCAGTAATCAGAGAAATGGTGGGCACAAATGATGTCATGCATCACATCCAACACCAAAGAATCAAATAGTTCGGACATCTCATGCGATTACCAACACACCATCCAGCACAACGTGCCTACAACAAAATATTCGATGGCAACAAAGCTAAAGGGCGACCGAGAAGACCTGGATAGATGGAGTCAGGGAAACACTAACCACTCATGGCATCCCCGTGACCCAAGCTCTCCGGCTGGTGACAGAGAGACGTCTCTTTCTTCCCGCGACACCCAAAAGGGTATAATGGCGTATAAAAGTTTTTTAAAAGTAAGAGTCAAGAGTTTTGTGACACTTGAAACACAAATTGGTAAAAAAAAGTGCCGAAGATAGGAGGTGCTACTAGAGAGTAACATACAAAAAAGAGGAGGAGAGATATAGACGATAGATGTTTTAGATTTAGTAAGAGTTTTACGGCACTTGCTACACAATAAGGTCATATAAGTGCCAAAGATTAGAGGTGTTACAAGGGAGTAACAAAAACAAAAAAGGAGGGGAGATAAAGACGATAGATGTTTGATAGGAAAGAAGAATCAAACCACACAAGAGCACCCACCAACCACCCACAGAAAGATGTTTGATACAAAATGAAGAGCAAACCACACCAGAGCACCTGCCAACTACCCACAAAGAAAAAAAGAGATAAGGGTGATAGATGTTTGATAGGAAAGGAACAAACCACACAAGAGCACCCACCAACCATCCACATGTGTGTAGGAAAGAAAACTTTTTGTTTTTTAATTGATAAAAAAGAAATAGGCATTGTCCTTGATGGGTAATACTCTGCAGCGCAAAGGAGAAGTAAATAAGTCTACAACAAACAAGTATACAAATTCAAAACAGGCATGAAAGTATGAAAAATATTTTATTGAAATACGAAGCAAGAGAAACTAGCCAAATGAATTGTGCAACAAACAAAAATGAACAAGGAACTGCTCAACCATTGCTATTTGCAATACTCAAGACGAGGAACAATCTACTCCTAATAAAAGCTTTGGAAATGAGTTGTAATTGGTAACAGGACAGTAAATAGTTCTGAAATACTTAATTGTAGCTGATTAAATAACAAAGCCATCAGGCGCCGGGTCACACATCTGAGACTGCAGTCAGTGTTCAGAATGCAAGAGGCTTAGTGCTGACAGTTTATTACAATCAAACTCGTAACTTTGTACAGGACCTGACAACTTATGACACAAAGACTTTACAGTTGGAATTCTACTGACACTTTTCTGAATTGTCTCTACATTTAAGGGACCTGATACAGCAACTTTCAACTCTAAAAATTCTTAAATAATCAGACATAAATACACCTCTGTCACTTATTTATATAATAACAGTGCCAGTGCTGTTATTTTTTTTATTTGTTTGTTGGGTTTTTTTAATAAACATTCTCTCACAGGTAAAAAGAAAAGAAAATCATCTTGCCTACATCTTTCTTTTCCATTTATTTGTTTTGAAAAAGTCTACACAGACAAAAGGAAAGGCCTCCAGCTGTTCTCTATCAGAGACACATGGAGAAGACAAAACGACAATGGAGAGTTTGGGGCCTTTAGCTTCCCCGTGGAGTACAGAAATATCCAATTATTGTTAGTTACAAAAGAAATAAGCAACACAGAGCACTATTGCATATGGATATCTTTGTTCCTTTTTCTTCATGTTGTAAAAGAAGGTATACATGAGATATGACACTCCTGGACATTTTTCTCATTAAAACATCAATAGGTTTGGATTTACAATTAAAAGAGAGGCAACTATCTACATAAAAATCAAGCATAAATTAGAAGCCTATCATATAAAAGTGAACTTTATAGAGAAAAAAAAAGGATGAGGGATCAAAATTGATAAGGATAAACTAATTGACGGAGTCGAACACAATCATGATTTCTTCTGATAGACAAAAGTAAACACATCAATCTAGCAATCATGCCAGTAGCAATTTTGAGCTTTCAGTCATATTTTGTAAGGACCAATAGATTTAGAATAACCAAGAACCAAGATGAGTATGGTAAACAATGGAATGTACAAATATAAAGAGCTTCTGGCTTAATTAATCCTATGGTAAAACGATTTCCCCTTTGATGTCACCATGACATACTAGCATGTTTGCGCATAGCAGTCCAATCAACAAGTGGCACTACTTCATAGAGTTTTCTTTTGTTCGCTAAGCAAAGTGAGTAACAATAATTGGTCACGTGCATACTTTTACAGACATGGTCAAGTCCTACAGCCAAATAAGTTTTGTGAAATTGCATTCGTTACAACACAAAGATAAAGAACATATCTCTATTTAAACTGTGTAAATCAAAACATCAAATACTTATAAAATCTACTATTTGCATATAGTCCTTCTGAAAAAAATATTTATACGAAATAACTGCAGAAATGTACTTTTTAAAAGATGCATTCAAACTTAAGTAAATGCATTTAAACATCATTTACATAGTCAGACAAAATCCTGACACTCTCACACACTCATTCTTCTTATACAAACACAAACGATCTACCAATTGTACATTTGACATAAACATGAACACACAGGCAAACGAACCACATCAATGTCTCAATATCTTTAGGATTCTTTAACAAGAACAATAAAACAATGCAAAATTTCATGAACAGCATAAGTCAATAAGACGAAATATGAAGTCCAAACAATTTTGAAACTACTTTTCGCCTGTTTTACTCCCATTCATGTAGACAAAATAGATATACATAAGAAAGTAAGTTCCCCGCGTCACAGTTCACTCAGATATGTTACAGGAAGAGATGCGCCACAACCCTTTATCCAAGTCACCCACATACTCTAAACAATAAAAGAAAGTTTTTGTTTGAACACTTCGGTTTTTTTTATTCAGAGCACTTATTTTTCCAAAACAGCAAAATCTGAGAGTAACACACTGCAATAATCTAAAAATTGTTTTAATTTTTGCCTGCCTGAGCCAAATCGCATTTTCACGGTAGTTTGCATAGGGTTCAGAAAGGGAACAAAAATATGTTCTTTACTTTAACAAAACGGCTGCATAAAAAATCATAATTCTATCACTGACAAGGACGGCCTTCATGAGATGTTAAGAGGGGCTTCAGGATCTCAGAGAAAAGTTCCAGCCTGCTTAGCTTGGCTCACAAAGCGATTACTTGGACAAACATAAGATATATAAAGATGGAAAAGTAAAAGATAGCCAGTGTGAGTTCACTGTTTGTCTGACCCAAGTTGAAAAGAGGACAGTGTTCACATGAGTTTCTCAACAACAAAAGAAGAAGAAAAATTTGTTTAATTTATGTTTTCAGTAGCTGGTGGTGACAGCATATCAGAACCAATGTACATCTGGGCAACACATTTTCCCAGAAGTTACTCAAACAATGCACCAGAGCACAGCAAGGTTCATGGAGCATGCCCATATATATCAAAAACACACTTGTGGGCAGGCAAGCAGCTTGGATACATCACAATTTCAATATCATTTCAGGTGAAAACAGGAGAACACGTTCCCTTGTGGTCTCTGGCCCTCTTCTTCCAGACAGCTGACGGAGGTCAGAGTCTCCCCTTGTTTTGGGTGAATTGTCCAGAAACTCCCAGCCTCAACCTTGAATACTTCAAAACAACCGCTATGCCAAGTTAAAATGAACCAAAAAAACAAAAACAACTCAGAAGCAGCTTTCTAAAACATAAACCCTTTGATTCCATTAATAGATATCCCCCCCCCAAAAAAAAACCCAACTTCCGCCTGCACAGTGTACAAAAAAATAATTGGTCTCCATCTAAGAAAGGGCTCTCTAAAAGAGAGGCTCTTCCTCGCAAGATGTCCTATAAAAGACACAAAAATAAACTTTAATATCTACACCGTTAACAAAAGTGAAGTCCAAACAAAGAGAATACACTGTAGAAAAACACATCTCGTGTACAAATGAAGAACATCAAAAACAAATATCTTGTATATAAAATACAACACAATAACCATTTCATATAACCCTATGGTGATGCAAAAACTGTGCAGCGATTTCACAAATTAGCAAAGTCTCAGAAGAATTTGGCCCAGAGAGAATAGAACAAGGCTTATTAGAGACTCAAGTTATGATTCAAATCATACCAAATAGCATAACTGTACTGGAGAGAGAGCTGTTGCACACCAAGATCATAACCCACTTTCATACCACAAGTGAGAAGAACACTGTTATGTCACTTGTTAAGACATATATATATGCATGCAGAGGACCTGCAATAACACCTGGACATCTAAAGGCAACTTTATAGGACCAGACAACGAGATAAACAAAAATGATGGAAAAATCGCTTGCAGTCACGAAGTCATGCTCTTCAAGCCCACAAAAAAACTTTGGACATCACGGATTCTCCACTAATCACTACATTTGTTCTCCTCCCAATCACTACATTGAATGCTTCTAAGGATAATGTTTCTCCTCGTATCCTTACATCCAGAACATCTGACAATGATGTTGTTTCTCCATTCATTTTTACATTTTTTTAGCATCATAAGGTATTGTTGTTTCTCCTCTTGTCAGCACATCACAAAGTTCTTAACGACACTGTTGTACTTTTATGTCATCCCCTTTCCCTTTCATCTTTTCACGTTACAAGCACACCCAGACTTTCACACTTGATGATGGTGTTCAGGTAGTCCAGATCATTCTCATTGTATGTGTGGCCGGTGCAACACGGTGCTGATGGCATCATGATGATCCTGACTACTCCAGCCGCACTTTATAGCACCCGAGCAAACAGCGTCGCTGCCAGGGACAGCACCAACGTCACCACAGAGGCTGCCATCATTGCTGAACTGTCTTCAGGTCCTAGGGACAGATTCAAAAGAAAAAAAACATTAATTTACTGGGGGGGGGAGGGGGGGGAGGGGGGGGGAGACCATAAAATTAAAACTTAAAATAAATTCTCAGTGGATGAGACTACAAAATAATTATAAACTACTCATAAAAATGAGACACTTAACTAAATTCTGTACAAAACAAGATTTTTTTTAAATACATCTTTTTATAAACATTGCTATATCTGATCAGTGCAAATAAAAGCAGAGAACTGAGAGTAAAAGTGAATTCATAAATACAATAGCGCTCACTATGATCTTAGATCAAGGTTTCAATCATTACTCCCGAGGTCAGGAAATACAAGTATACAAGGTTCCTCTATGTTGGGTTAGTCATTTCCATTTTATATATTAGTAAGAATAAAGGCTTACATTATAAGTCAAGGTTAAAGACCATTATAATTTACATATTTTTGCAATTTCAAGATTTGTCCATAAGAACACAGCAACTGCCATCTTTTCTGGACAGCTGTCATTATAATCTACTTAATGACATTGCCAGCATCAACAGCTTTACAAGCAAGTACCGGTGGTCATAAACATTTTGACTCGTGTTTACAAATAAAGGACTTTCACCAGCCTCCCTGAGCACTCAAAATATAAGTAACTAGCTACCTTAAAACAAAACCTTTACATTAACAGAAAGTTTTCATAATAGTTATCAACAGACAGAACAATTCATGTTTGACAGTGTAATGATATAGAAATAAGTTTGAGCAACAAACTTTCTTATTTATGGATAGTCAAAAACAGCATATGTGTGCTATACAATTCTAGTGTCAAAAGATCAATGCAAACCAGCATTAGTGGTAGTAAAATTTTAAAGAAGGCCATTCTTTCCCCAAGCAAACAGCAATGTTAACGAGCATAGAAATGAAAGAAGTTACGAATCACTGAACATTCTGAGGCATTGCTCAAAATTATGAACCATTTAAACGCCACTTACAAGGTATATACGACACGCAGTGCCAAACCCAGTCTTTGAACATATTTCAATAGAAGAAAGTCAATTAACACTGTATTTGGAATCACTCAAAACCATCTATAGGTTACTGAATAAAATCTAGGGGAGTTTGGAGTTGTTGCGTTGTTGGGGGGTTTTTTTTGCTTTGTTAATTTTTCACCAATAAAACCTAAAACTTGAACTCGAAAGCAGACACACACTATAGGCCTACACTACTAAACAATCTCAATTCTGACTGACCAAGTTTTCTTTTATTTGGCTATTACTTCTGGATAGGAAAACAAGTACTTAAATTTATCTACTGACAAACAAGTACAGCAATAAGTACACATTGTGTACCTGCCTTCTACTCAGTGCACTTATGAAACTGAGAAAGCACTTATCTTAAAGTAAGAACATTTATCAAGTCATCAGTATATGTTCCTTTCTCAAACACGTACTTGACTATAATAGTAGTATTGGAATCATCATTTAACAGGAAAATTCGTCAAACAAAGGGAAATAAGAGGAGTCAGAATAAGTGTCCACAATGAAAGAAACTGCAACAGGACATCTTTCCTGAGTCCTGAGATAAAGTGTTCACAAAGAAAAATCCTTTGCCAGCAGGTCAAAGCACAAACAAGAGCCAGCAACTAGTACTACAAGAGCACATTATTAAAATTCTCAGGTTAACAGATTATTCATTCTAAAAGAAAAGAAATGAGTGAAAAAATAAAGCAGAACACCTACCATCTTTGAGCCCAACAGGGAAAAGAGCAGCGGAAAATAAGAAATGAAAAAAGAAAAAAAAAACACACAGAAATAATAAAGGAACTCAAGTATGGAAATGTTAATCAAATTATACATCATAGGACAGAGTTATGGTGAAATACTTTTATGAAAATAAAGAGATAACTAAACTGTATGTGTGACAACTATAATTATAACAAATCTTAGGCTTTAAAATTGTCTTAAAAGAAAGCACTGATTTTCTTAGGCAACAAATATGGGGCAGGAAAATGGCGCAATAGGATGGTGGATGGGCATTGTAGATGATACAAAACAAGACTTGGGGGTGGAAGTGCGGGAAGTTAAATTTAAAGAATAAAGAATAAGAAAAACTATGGCAGAAAGGGGAGAGAGAGAGAGAGAGAGAGAGAGAGAGAGAGAGAGAGAGAGAGAGAGAGAGAGAGAGAGAGAGAGAGAGAGAGAGAGAGAGAGAGAGAGAGAGAGAGAGAGAGAGAGAGAGAGAGAGAGAGGGGGAGAGGGAGAGAGAGAGAGAGAGAGAGAGAGAGAGAGAGAGAGAGAGAGAGAGAGAGAGAGAGAGAGAGAGAGAGAGAGAGGGAGAGGGAGGGGGAGACGGAGAGGGAGAGGGAGAGGGAGAGGGAGAGATAAAAAAAAGAGAGAAGGGGGGGGGGGGGGGGCAGAGAGAGAGACAGAGACAGGAAGAAACACAGAGAGAGTGAGAAAGAGAAAACGATAGGCAGACAGACAGACAGACAGACAGACAGACAGACAGACAGACAGACAGACAGACAGACAGACAGACAGACAGACAGACAGACAGACAGACAGACAGACAGACAGAGAGAACCCAATAGGAAATACAGGAAGAGGAAGACTGCTCGGGGGGAGTGAAATGGAGGAAGAGGAGGGAAAGGAGGGGATAGGTGAATTGAGAACAAGTTTATGGAATGGGAGGGAGGCATCAGGGATCACTAGGAGAGGAGAAGGGGGAGAGTTGAGCACATGAAGGTCAAAAGAAAAATTTGGGAGGGACAGGGAGGGGGAGGAGTCATTGGCACATAAAAATATGAGGAACAGAAAAAATAAAGGGTTGAGAAAGAAAAAAAATTACACATTATATATAGCGGTATATAACATAATTACATATACATACCAGTATAAAGAAATGTAAGTAGCAGTACAAGTATATCATAGTTGAGGTGGGATGGAAAGGTTGAGAGAGCGAGGGGATGGATTGACAGAGGGAGTGTAGTAAGTACACTGCTAATCACAGCAAAGCTTCCTAGGCTATAAAATAATCTATTTGCTGGAGAGTCCGTAAAATGAGAGGGACTTCCCTGTGGCACTGTGAAACACTCAACTACAATACCAGCTGTCCAGACGTATGAAGCCCAAAATTTGATTCGTTTTGCACTTATTGTTTTTTGTTTGTTTTGCTCTTTCATTTGGAGGGGCGGGGCGGGGTGTGGTTTGGTTTGTTTTGTTTTGTTTGTTTGTTTTTTTATTATTTTAGATCTGTGTTATCCATTGCATGAGCTCAATATATATTTATTTGTCGAAATTCAAATACTATAATGTATATTGAAAATAAAGCAAGAAAAAATACATAATGTATGTTTGTTCTCTCTCCTGAAAAAATTTTCTTTCTGGGCTTAGTACAGTTTTTGTATTCCAGCCTCATGTGGAATATTCAAACAGAGAAGTTGTATTTAGAAATCATAGAACAAAAATGTGATTTAAAATTAAAGGTATACTAACCACCCTTCCACATATACAAACAAACACACACAAGCACACACACACGCACACACACACACACAAACAATGCCAGGTAATTGATCAAAATAAACAATTATCACTTTCTTTTCAAATAATCTACACTATCTACCGTGCAATTTTACAGTGATTAATGATAAATGTTTGGAACACAGGAAAAGACTCAATTAGAAAATTCAGGGGTTAGTTAAGTGGGAAAAACAAAGTGATGAGCAACGTGTGTCCTTTCATAATTCCAGAATTCAGAAACTAACAACTACCTTTAGCTCTTCCGGTCTCTGAAAAGTTTTAAAAAACAAAAACGGTCAGAAGGGAAAACAAAGAGTGAATGTCCTTGCCATTGTCTGGGCACAGTGGTATGTCAGTCAGGCGCTCGTCAATTTCTGGCCATGTGAAGTTATTGGTGTCATCTTAAAGTAAAGCCAGTACATTGGTCTTGCTTTTGATGAAAAAAGTATTATCAATCTTGAATAGAAGTCAACAGTAAATCGTGAGAAAATGACCGCCAAAGTTCAGTGACTTCTGCAGCTTGAGTACCCTACGAAAATGCAAATTTATGTATCACCAAAAATTATTCATGGGTTTTTTTTTGCCTTTCACCGTTTTTCTATAAAAATCCACACAGAAATTTTTTTTGAGTTTTTAAAATTCATATAAAAGGTCTTGAGCGAAACCTCCCCCACACAGAAATTGCCTAATTGGTGGGAAAATGTCCATTTCCTGGATATCATTCTATTGACGAGCACCTGATGTCACGTCGATGCCACACAGCCTGCCCTGCTTACCGTTTCTCCCCAGACACCGCATACACCGTAGTATACAACATTGCAGTGTGAGTGGACATTAATTTTTAATTTTTTTTAACAAACCAAACAAACAAAGAAACAACCGAAAATGCATATTACATTCTCTTTGCGAAAAAGATATGCCCATATGAAACCACAATTACAACTGAGGAAAAACCCAAACCAAAGACAAACAAACAAAAATAACAATGCAGGCAAAGCCATACAACCTACTATTGGTGCCCTCCAACAAAGCGCCTCCTATTTTAAAAAAAGACCTAACTCTTTCACAAAACTTAGATCTAGTAAAGAACTTTTTGAGTATACCCTTTTTTATCTTTCCCTAACCACGGTGCAAACCGAGACAAATGCTACATTTCTTTAAATAAAGTTCGCTTCGTTTCTTGTCCATATTTCAAGCAAACTTCACTATTTGCTATGTTTCTTGTCAGTAATTCAAGCTAACTTCACTGTTCGCAAAACATCGTCATAGCATATTATTAAAATTGTTACTCAAACTTTTTTTTTAGCTGTAATAACATCAGCACAACACTGCACAAGCTTAGAGGGGTGACTTCATAAATCTTCTACAATAAAGGCGTTGGCAAGCAAGATTTGAGGGGGCAAGAGAAAGGCTGAGCGCAGGCAAAAACAGCTGTCTGTCACAGACACTTATAGTTACAGGCACTCACAAAAAAAAACCCCACAATGCCGCTATCAGACACTAGATCGGCCAAAATGGAAACATAAACTATAACAAGTAGTAGGTACAGAGCGCTGTGTAGATAGTGCAAAAAAATAATGCTCATCTGACACTCCTGAAAGTACATAGTACCAAACAAAGATAATAATGGCTGCTTCAAATCCTTCACCAGGACCATAAAAAGAGAAAGTTTTCTATGTAACCGGTGAAGTAACAAGTAGTGTGGGGGGGAACACCATCTACACCACAAACTCGGGTAAAACAAAAATTCTTCACTCCCACTTAAGCTCTGTAAATGACAGATAACCAAACCTCACAGATATTAGAATGTTATGATGAGTCCCCCAGTCGAAACTCCCACATGCAATAGAAGGTACAATTTCCAAGAACCAAAACACCCTGTCAGGCTCTTAGAATCCAATCCATGCAGCCTATTTTTAAAATCTTTACTCGAATTGCATTTGTCAAAAGAGAATTTAAAAATATCTAGTCTTACTAATTACCAATTCTCCCAATATATAATTATTCTGCCAACATTTTGTATGTCCATATTGGCTGTGGTGACAAACGTAAAAAACACTACCATTTTTTAAAGATATATAATATGCGTCCCAAAAAAAGAAAAGCTGAAACCTGTAGTTTAGAAATTTTTTTATGAAAAGTAGGGACCAAATCTTTTCTATTTTAAGAGATAAACTTTGGTTCTAGACCCTGGCAACGAACGGAAGAGGGGTGGTTAACAAAATGTAAACAACAATGCTAAATAATAAAGAGCCGGATGTTAGAACCACATTTGTGTTGGATGGGGAGGAACCAATTGCCATCAATTCCCACACCTGACCGGTTAAGAAAACTAGTTTTAAGAAAACAAAACAACAAAAGCATGATTTATGGTCATGGTATCCTCGCAAAAGACGCCAAGATATACCTGTACCATTATCACCAGGTGAAGAAGAACCATTATCTGTTTCTTTGCCTGCAAAATTCAGAAATAAAGTTTGAACAGTATTTTTTTTAATGGGAAGTTGCATCTCCGGAATCTGCGATCGTAGTTAAAACGCGCCGTCAAATAAGAGCTTAAAGATGCACCATATTTCATCTGCAGACTACATACACACAGTCACATTCCGAGGTGGTCTTTCAGAAATTAAGCATCGTCAAGACATTCACAATATTTCCGCTATTCACAGTAATTCGAAGCTAGGTGAAACTATTGGAATGCCATGTGTTTATACAGACAATGGATTTTCGTCTTTTTTTTTTTTCACGCTTCATAAAATGCATAATATATGGAAAAGGACAGGAAAGGTGGAGGGGTGGTGTTCGTGCCCGTCTCTACAGGATCAGGCGTCAAACCAATGGTAAGAACCAGGAGGTGTTCGACGCAGATTATACTCTAAAATAGCTATGAGAGAATTTTGAGGTGGCCTCTCAGAAACTAAGCAATGTAACGAGTCAACAAAGACATTCTATCCTATCTCCCTCACCCCAATCAGCCGCAAATGAGTATAGCAATCAGCGGAGACAAAAATAATAGTAACGTGTGCCCAATATGTTACAATGAGTAGAATTGAGTTGCGTAAATCGGAGGAAAGACATGGGGAAACAACTTAGTCGATGACAAATCAAAACAACAATGACTAGATTGTAGACTGTTTAGTTTTAGTACCAGTTTTGGTGCACTTGCACCATAAACATGTCATACAAGTGCCGAAGATTAGGGGTAGGCCTATTTCTAATAACTTACAAATAAAAGAAGGAGGAAATAAGGAAGATATATGTTGGATAGGAAAGAAGAAGAAAGCCACATCAAAGCACCTGCCAATCAACCACGACAAGATTTCGCTAGGTACAGATTAGGATTTATAGCAAAAGTGGACAAACAGAAGTAAAAGGTACAGAAAGCAACCACCAGAGCGCCCACTAACCGCCTACACTGACAACTTTCACTGTAACTAATTGACCGCCCAGAATGGCTAAAAACAGCAGCACCTCTCATGTAGATGCAGCCTGGAGTGAGTACTACCACAGATGATGAGACCATGGACTAAGAAGACAAGACAACACCCTGACCTATGTTACGATGTCATGCATCTGGATATGAGAGGGTGTGGGAGAGCGGTTGTGCGCGTGTAGGGGTGGAGGAGATAACAACAGGTAAGAATGACAACACCGGCAAACGCCACAGCCAACAGCTCTCCACAGATATAAGCTATTGTCTGTAAAGCGCCACACAACATAGGTCTACAGAAACAAGCAGCTAAACAAAAGTATTCGTGTTTTAGAGAGAAAACTTGGAACAATTCTGACAAAGGATAAACAAATCGGCCCAGATCCAGAATTTTTTCAGCTATGGTTTCTTTAAATAATATAAATGTATATATTTCAGTTCTGTGCAAGTACCTGAAGTACATCGTGGAAAGGAACTGGTAAACCCTTCCACAATATATGCCGAAGGCCCAAGAAGTTGTCTCACTAACAAGGCAATTCCCAATGTCCAGATCGGATGCAGGAACAGCTTTACTTTATACTTTACTTCTATCAAAGCTATTCGACCTGGCTTGATTCGGCTGGTTTTGTTCAAATAGACGTTCCGATTTTTGGTGACAATCCAAACCCCTACCTCTTTGAGTGACCCATATCCTCAAGTTTCCAGAAGTCAGGCCCCTAGGAGCATTTTCCCATGGCTTAGGTCAGAGGCTGTACTTGCAGCAGGTGATCTAGTGTGGTTTGCTCTTTCTGTCCTATCAAACAGCTTTCTCAGTATCTCTCCTCTTTTTTCCTCTGTATGCTTCTTTCCAGTAACACCTCTAATATTCGGCCTATTCAACCTTTTTGTGTGGCAAGCGCTGTAAAACTCTCTCTGAACTAATTCTTGCAGCACATAACGGGCTTCCTCTTGGTAACAGTTAGGGTAAGCACTATGACCCAAGACATTAAAACGTACAGAAAAAGGGCAGGTTCCTGCAAACCAAACTCGACAGACTGCAACTGATTATGGGCCCTAAGTCACAGGGCAGACATCACAAGTCATGAGCCAACAAAGGAAGCTCGTTCCCCTATCTTCCTGAGGTATTTTACCCCCCAAAAAATTATTATACAAAAATTCAAGTTAACTAACTGGAAGCATTTCCCCAGAGCTTATATTTTTTTTGTCGCATGCAGAGGTATTGCATTGTATAGTAGAAGCTTTATTTGCTGGGCTATCTAAACATGTGAGTATGGTAGAAACTAACACCTTATCAAATGGGCAATTCTGAGACAGGTGTACTCTAGCAAAAAAAAATGCTTAATTCATTTTTACAAATTACCGCTGGATACTTTTCTCCCCATAAGATAAAGAAATGAGATAATTACTTAATGATGCAAAATCTATAGTGATTTCAATAGCTGAATAATTATAACAGAAGTAAAGGAAGTTCTATTTCTTCACAAAACAGTCACACACAAAGACTAACGGAAATAGTGCATCCCTACACAAACAGTGCTTTACCAGGAAAGCAAATACAACACTGTGTCTATATCAAAAGCACATCATTCTCAAAAAGTGAGCACAGCTATAATGCCTCTTTTACAAGCAACTCAAATGGAGAACATGTATAAAACCAGACTTTCAATTTAGAAAAGAATAAAAAATACACTTTTTGAAAGAAGATAGGCCAAAGTCCTTATCTTTACAAAACAAATATCAGTGATTTTAGAAATGGCTGTGTTCAGCAGGTTTTTGTTGTATTTTTTAAATACCAAACACACCTGGTGCTAAAACGCGCATTCAAATTTAAGGAAAATGTTCCTGTACATACTAGAGAACAGATTGTGACTTTGACACACTTTTTAAAAATAGAGGGAGTATAATTATGTGGACATAAGTATCGTCTTGTGTGTCACTATGCAGGATTGTTTTGACCGAGCATTAAGAACCTCTACATGAGGGTCACAGGTGTCTCCCTTCCATGCTTAAATCTACCAACAGTCAAACCTGCTCGAACGGCCAGAAAAATACATTAACCTGTATAAACAGCCACTCACCATCCCCCCCCCCCTTGCATTTTCTTTTACATTATAATGGCACTGTGTAAGACAATCATTTTTATCCTTGACAATTTCAACTGTATATGTATATATACATGTGTTTTCCTACATAAATTATAATTTTCCCTACGGCTGCGTTTTCACCTAAAAAAAAATTAGGCAAAACACATCAATGTTATCAGTGTGTCATCATGCTTCTAAGGATTGTAACACACATAATTATTTCTAGTCACATCCAAGAACTATCAGTCAGACTAGTATTAGTCAGTCAAACAGACGAAACAGAGATCTTACTATCAAAATAAATTTTCTAGGAAGACAAAAAAAATAATAAAAGCCACTGCGTCACTAACACATATAAACAACAATTACTATCCTTGAACTTCAAGAAGAGGACAAAAATTATCCTTTAACCAAAAAGATTCACTCCAATTGCCCTAAGACTAAAACATCTTTTTAGCTTCAGTAGGAGTTTTACTGCACTCGCAACACAAATAAGTAACACAAGTGTCAAAGATTAGGTGTTACTAGAGAGAAACATACAAAGAAAACAAGGGGAGATAGGGATGATAGATTATGGGAAAGAAGGAGCAAGCCACACCAGAGAACGTGCCAACCACCCACTCTAAGATATCAGTGGTGCTTTAGTTTCTCATCACAGATCATCTAATAGACAAGAGTTCACCCACTCTACAGGATACCACCAAGTGTATCTAGGAATTTCTCAGCATGAAAATCCTAGACTTGCACCTTATCTTCTCAGGTGTTTTTGCATTACAAGACAAAGCCAACAGAATTCACAATATAACAAAAATAGCCATGCTATACATATACCATGAATAAGATGTAAGAGTATATATTATTGCGCATGCATTTTTCTTAATCTGAAAGAATGTTGTAATATTATCAGAATATTATAAACTATAGTACAGATAAGAGTATTCCTTTGATGGTGAAATTTGAATGATGTTACATAAACATGTCAACAGCAAGTTAACAGACATTGGTAAAACAAATTTACCTTCTATTTTCTTCAAGTTGACTTTTTCTTCTGTTAAATGGCCACCTCCACTTTCCACAACCAGGACAAAATCAGTGGAAAAGTGCCAATCTGCTGCCTCATAGAGCTCAAGCACCACCTTAGATTTAGTCGGACTTTCAGTCTGTAGAAAATAAGCGCCAGAATCTCATCAACTGCAGGCAGTTCTCTCCCTTCCCCCCTTCTCTCTCTCTTTCCCTCACTCACTCTTTCTCCCTCCTTTCTTCTTCTTCCCCTCCCTCCCTCCCTCCCTCTGTGTCTGTCTGTCTGTCTGTCTGTCTGTCTGTCTGTCTGTCTGTCTGTCTGTCTGTCTCTGTCTCTGTCTCTGTCTCTGTCTCTGTCTCTCTCTCTCTCTCTCTCTCTCTCTCTCTCTCTCTCTCTCTCCTTCTCCCACTCCCTCCCTGCCTGCCTCCCTCAACAATTACACAACACCCTCTCTTAAAACAAACCCCAAAACTAACAGTAAACTATAACCTACCTCTTTTTTCACCATCATGACTTTTCCCTCAACCTCCTTATCATCGCCTTCGTGGATGAGCACACCGGTATCCCCAATCCTGTAGTAGTACCCATCAACGTCAATGTCAGTGTGGTCCACTGAGCATGAGATGGTCACGTAGCGCTTGCCAGGGTAGGCCTCTCCGTCATCGCAGGTGATCACGGGGTCATCTGGTTTAGTTTCAGGAAGAGGTTTACTAACGGCACTTGCAACACAATAAGGTTGTATAAGAGCTGAAGGTTTGAGGTGTTGCAAGAGACTGTTACAAACACAAAAAGAGATGGAGGAGAGATAAGGACAACAGATGTTAGATAGCGAAGAAGGAGCAAACCACACCAGAGCACCTGCCACTGGGTCATCTGATCAATCTTACCACATACCGTGAAGCAACAGTGGAGAAATATCTGAGTGTGCGTGCATGAGTGTGAATGTGAGTGTGAACATGCTTTCGTAGAATGTTAGTATGCACACTTAAGTAACAATATACCTCTACTGCTTCATGAAAGCCGTAGGCCATTTTAAAAAAGTGATGGATGTTTAGAGTCTCAAACTGAGCAGTCGATCTGCTGGGAGCAGTTCTCAGTCATGGTTGCTATGTGTGTGGGTTTTAGAACAAGTACAGTCACATTTCACACAGAGCAGGCTATAACAATAGCAACACCAAAAACAGGTAGGAATCCACGGCCAAAATTCTGTTACATGTACAAAAATTGTTACATATACAAAAAAAGTCACAATGGTTTTACTTCTATAACTTTTACTTTAAACCCTCAGCAGCTCTGAAGCCAAGGTAGAATTCAGGCTGGTGTTTCAAAGTGCTTTCAGTACACTGAATTCAAATATGGAGACCAACAAGACCACATAACATGCAAAAAAGTAGATCCACAAAATGACTTCTGTGCCTCCATTTATCTATCTATTCACGTAAAAATAGAGTGAAGAAGATTTATCTCAACCAAGCGCCACTCCAAAACCAGATTTCTGCCGTGGCGATGTTGCTACCATTTTCAGTACTCTCCACAGTTACAAAACACAGCACTGATCAAAAAGCACAGATCTATAAAACAAGTCACCATACAGTTACAGTACAGTGATAAAATGACATGAACAGCTGGACATAGCACACCTAAACTATTCTGTCAGTATGCTTAATTAACCACAGACAGCACATCGTCAGCGTCATTCCGCTGCCACATAAGTACTTTTATCGAAGTGTTGAGAAAATTAAACAAAAAAGTTTGTTATGTCGGAACCATGAATTAGTCACTTGTAATTTTTTAACCACCTAAAAGTAGGAAGCCAACAAAGAAACAAAACAAAATTATATTTTTAGACAGCCGTTGATGTCTTTAGTCGAGAAACAGCTTTATCTGAAAAGCTCCATAAATTGATATATATCGCCACTGTGAAGTGACACTGACAACATAATTATATTATCACAAGGAATATTTTCAGTCCACAAAACCCCTGACACCCAAAAAAAACCCTCAGTGTTTGCCAACATGCTACTCACAAACATTGACTGCGATAGGGGCCTTCACTATGATACTGTTGCCGTTGGGTCCAGGAGCCCGGGCAATGCACTCCACATTATGGCCAGTGTGGCTCGAGTCAATTGTCATTGTTGTTTCAATGGTGGATCTGGAATGAAGGGAAACAGTAACGGTTTGAGAAAAGTTAAAGACAAACACACCCTCTCAATAAATGTTATTTAGGGCGGTGGGGTGGGCATGATAGACAAGCAAAAATGTTCGAGTTACAGCTTATTGCAGTGATAACAGTCAATATATAAGAACTGGGGGCAAAGGGGAAAGAGGTCTTTGTTTTCTTCTTAGTTTTATGGCACTTGCAACACAATAAGGCCATATTAGTGCCACAGATTAGAGGAATTGCATGAGAAAAACACACAATAAAGAAGGACGAGAGATAAGGACGAGAGATGTTCGAAAGGAAAGAAGGAGCAAACAACGTCAGAGCATTCGCCAACCACCCACCCACTATTTGAGGCTGAAGGATAGGGGGGAGCCAGACAGATAGGCAGAAATGTTTGAGTAACAGAGAAGCTTACTGAAGTGATAACTGTCAATGTAAGAACCGGAGGGGGGGGAGCAAGATAATCAGGTAATGATGATGGTAATCTAGAGTTGAGAAAAAGGGCAATGGACAGACAAAAACGACTGAGTTGTGGGGAAGCAGATTCTCATGATTACAGTCATCAAGGGCTGGGTGGGAAAGTTAGACAAACAAAGCAAAACAGCCAAAGAAAGGGGGAGACCTGTTGGCACCTCCTTACCATCTGTGGCCTATGGTCAAAGGTCAATGTGCCAGAATAAAAAGTGCACTATAGTTGAAACTGTCTAAGAAGGCCACCCATTGTCCAGGAGGAAAGTGGCCATCTTAGACAGGTGGCCGTCTTACACAGTGTCATTGTAATGTAAAAAAAAATGCAAGCGAGTAAAAGGGCAGTGGCTGCTTGTACAAGTGATTGTCTTATAAAGGTGGCCATTACAACATGTTCGACTGTATATTATTATGACGGCTCACTCTTTATCATACACACTGCCACTAGCACTGACAAAAGTATTTTATTTTGTGTTTCAAAGAGAAGTTCTTTTTAGAACAATCTTTTCTTAACCAAGCAGTCCCTAAAAGTAGTAGTGGTACCAAAAAACGATAATAATAAAAAATGTCACAATCGTTACCTTTGAAGACTACTTTGGTAGATTCTCAAATAGAGACAGCAATTTTGCAGTATGCAATCTTTGGTGCCAGTTATATTTGTTTCAGCATCACTTAGTAAAGCAGTTTACTCAGATTTGTAGATCAAAGGTATTCATGTCTCTTGACATTGCTCATAGAGGCAAAAGACATGTGATTTATCATATCCTATCACTTAATAAATTCTTGAACCAACTACTACTATACATACTGATACTAATATGCTTAACATCTGAGGGGGAAAAAAGGTATGCTGAAACTCTCTACCAAACCTTGACAGCAATAAAAATGTACTTTATTTGAAAAGATAATTTATATTTCCTGCAAAGTAGTCCTACTTGAATTTCCTGACATTCCCAGACATAGGCTCCACCACTACTTCAGCATCAGCAGGAACCTCTTCCCCTTTGAGGTATAGTTTGACATCTACTGCTCCGGGGTTGCTGCCCTCAGCAACACATATTACAGGGTAGACTCCAGCATCCATCGCCTGTCCAAAATCCCTTTCCCCAGTCTCATCAGAGGCGTCAGCCATGATGGCAGGGAAACTTCCGAACTGTAGATGAACTTTCTCCAAGCCCCCTGATTTTTGGAAGAAGCAAGTAAAGCATATCAGTCATATTGAAAAAGAAAACCAAATACAGTCAAACTAGTCTATACCCGTAAGACAATCACCTGTACAAATGACCACTTGCCATTTTGTCCTTTGTGAAAGTTTATACATCACACAGTGTAAGACGTCCACCTATCTAATACGGCCACTTTTCTCCTCGACAATGGGTGGTTGTCTTTGACAGTTTCAACTGTATATATGTATAGATCTACTTTGTTTGACAAAGCGCTCTTCTAATAAAAAGGATGTTTTAAGTTTTATTTTAAAATGTCTATTGATCTTGAGCATGTTATAGATTAGAAATACAACCACTTCCAACTGACAAGACCTTCGTCATGATGATACAGGTATACAGAGTCAAACCGTCAAATTCAAAGTGAATGATGACCACTGAGACTGGTGTAAGATGTCGCAACCCAATCAGTTTGTCGACACGAACACTCATCCTTTGTCCAAACCAGTTGAAACCCATGGCAAATTTTTAAAAATCTTTCTTACACCTCCTGCCCACCTTGACAAGTTAAATTTGAGATCTGGCAATTGGTGTATCTACTTATACTTATATCTACATAAATATATTTCAAGGGTATACAGTAGGCTACATATCACGGAAACAAACTAATCAGAAATATGGGTGGCTTCAATTTTGAGGTCAGAAACTCCAGACTCTTGAGATAAGTCTTTTGTAGTTTTTTTAGCTTCAGTAGAGGTTTTACAGGGCTCGCAACTGCATAAGGTCATATGAGCGTCAGACGATTAGTAGGAGTTACAAGAGAGTAACGAACATAAAAAGAAGAAGGAAAGATAAGGACGATAGATGTTTGATAGGAAAGAAGAAGGGAACCACATCAGAGCACCCGCCAACCATCCACTGAGATAAGTCATTTTCAACATCAACACAAGACAAAAATAGTATCAAACAGATCTTACAACTTACAAAATATTTTTCAAAAACAGACTCTAGTAGCTTGTAACTGCAGAGCTTTAGAATTAAATTCCAAGGCACATTACGATTATATTAACAGTATCATCTTCTTATCTCAACATTCTATTTCCTTCAGTTAATCAAGAAGCAAGATAACAGAGGTGGTACTTACTGTAAACAATAATATCCACTGAATCTTTGGACACTGGATCCGTTCCAGTCTTGCACACTAATTTCCCATCATCCTCGTGGCGCACTGAAATAAATTAAGTATATCATGGGCTTTTTAAAACATGTGTGTGTGTGTGTGTATATACATATATATTTAATTACTATCCTTCACCACAGAACAAAACATGACTACATTATTTATTAGTCCTTATGCAACAAAATGTAAAAATAAATGACTTACCAACATTTTCAAAAAAGGAAAATAAGCCCAGTCGAGTTGTGAACATAATTTTTTAATATTTATTTTAAAACACTCCTTGAATTCGAAGACGTTTCAACTATCGGCCTTAAAAAATATTTTACTGTCTTAACGTTGGTTGAAAGCTTAACTGCACTCTGGAGAAATATGAGCTTCAAATACTTGATGACTTAATTATGTTGCTGTGTACATTACAATACTATTAAATATTCATTTTCTAATGACAGAGAGATGAAATGTGAAATCTTACATTTCAGCCAGAATTACATTTGGATGTGTATCATTGCAGGCAAAATGTCACCCAGTAATAACTAAACATTGAACACTGAGCACTAGCGTGAAATCATAATTATTTTAAATCTCAAAATAAATCCACTGATCATGAAAAAGCTACCAACTCATGATGGCTAATAATCTACTGACTACAAAAGTACTGACCTTCCAGAATGGTCAATACAAAATTAATGGCTTTGCCCTCTTCAACAGTAACGTAGGTCATTTTGTAAAAGTTTGGGTTCGCCTCATCTGGCTTGATGTTGCTGAAGAGATGCACTTCCGAAGTGTTTCCATTCCACTCTTTGGAGAGGACTGTGTCCACGGTGTCCGAGAGAACGTAGGTGACGGGCTGGTTGAGGTGACAGGTGAACTCTACGTTCTGAGCACCGACCTGAAGATGCCTGGCTGAATTGTCCAGGAAATGCACTTCTGCAGCACCATCATCCTGAGCAGACACTGAAAGTGAAAAGAAAAAAAAACCAAAGCTACGACTATTGCAGTGTTGTGTATTGTTATCATGATCTATATCCAGGACATGACACACAAGAGATAAAACTGAGGAAACAAATGATAAAAACTGCAATTAATTATACCGTTTGGTAAGGAGAAAAAAGATTGTAAAGTTAAAGAAATATTGTGAGGGCAAAGTTAAATTCTCTCCGCTGTAATAAAATCTCTATTGGCTTCTTTTAAAGACCAAAAGCAATACTTTTTAAAATTTAAAAACAATACAATGGGCCCTTCTATACTTTAAGGATTTGTATAATTTCAGTTAAGTTTAACAGCACTTTCAACACAAATAACTTAAGTCACATAAGTGCCGAAGAGGAGAGGCTTATTTGAAAGAAATATTCAGATAAAGAAGAGGAGAATAATGACGAGACGTTTGATAGGAATACTCGGAGGTGACAGGTTTCGCGTGAAAGACAAAAAACCCAGCCACACGAAGGTTCACTTTGTCTTGGTGCTCTATAACATTCTGTTTTTTAGTAATATAATGTTATGGCACTTGCAATGCAATTAGGTCGAAAGTGTCAAAGATTAGAGGTGTCACAAGATAGTAACAAACATAAAAAAGAAGGAGATTTAAATAACAGCACCACAGCACCCGCCAACCATCCTCAGACAGAACCTACAGTCTATTATATTATTATATTAGAAGGATGGGCAAAGAAACAAACACAACAAAGTGGTGTCATCTAACCAAGCTGTCATAGGAAATAGCTCGTAAGTTAAGGCCATGTTCATTTAGCAATGTCCATCAACAATTTCTGCTGTTTACAGAAAAAAAAACTAGAACTGATGGTCCTTCTTATACGAGAAAATGATTCATCTCTGCGGTTTATGTAAAAGGTATGATCGCACAGAGTGTCTACCTCTCATGAGCGAGAGAGAGAGAGAGAGAGAGAGAGAGAGA